AAGAATAATAAAAAAAATGAATCAGAATTTTCAAACACTAATAATAAAACAAAAGGAATGTTCAATATTATAAAAAAATATAACCTTGTCTCAAAAGTTTGTAGAGAATGTTGTTTAAAGGATAATGATAGAGAGCTAAGAAATCTGGTAAAAATTGAAATTTCTTCAGCCAATTTTTTCAGAATTTCAGTTGATCTTACGAAGGGACTAAAACCATCAAATTCAAATTCATACATTTTCCCAAAAATTTTCATAACAATGTTTGTTTCCAAAACTTTTTCTTCTTAAATCTTGAGAAAACAAAACTCAAAGATTTCAAAATTCAAATGTTTAAGATGGATTTCCAGATTGTTCACTAAGAACTTGTGCAACTGTCACTAAACATTATATAAATCACATATTTAATGATTTTTTATGCACCGAAATATTTCCACATATCTTCAAAACAGCAAAAATCAAGCCACTTTTAAAAAAAGGCAACAAGAAAAGAAATTCAAAGTTATCAGCTTCTTTTGTCAGTTTTCTCAAAAATATTAAAGAGACTTTTCTTGGGAAAAATTGCATTTTTAGACACAATATGCACTTAAAAAATCAAAAACATTGGAAATTTATATTTTTTTCTTAAACATGTTGCTATACCAATGAAAATAAAGTACCTATTAGAATAATTTTAGATTGTTTGAAAGCTTTTGACCATACTGACTGTAATATTTTGTTCTTAATGTGGAATTCATGATATTGCCCTAGATTGAATATCCTCAAACCTTAAACATGTTTCCAAAGAGTGAAAACACCGAACTGGCATGCAAAAAACATAATTTTCTCATCTTTCCAATTCTTTGACAATTGAGCCAATGGGACCCCGCAGGGTTCAATCTTACACAGACCTTACCCTCTTTCTTTTAAACATAAAAGATATGTTCTTGTCCATCAAAAGCAAACAGTTCTTATTTTCTGATTACACAAATGTTCTTTACAACAAAGAAATACTGAGTAGAATGGTTTCAGATGTTCCAAATGTTGGTTATATAATAACAAATTCATAGTTTAAAAAAAAGGAAAAATAATTTCATTGCAGTTTTGCATTTCAACAATCACATGTGCCATTGGAAAAGAATATGGAGTTGGCTAATGTTAAAGTAACAAAATTTTTGGATCTGTCAATGCAGTGAAAGTGGAGGGTCCAAATTAATGAATTGAACATTAAATTTAGATCATTGTGTTATGCATTTAGAATTCTTTCAAATTCAGCTGTGTATTTTGCAAATGTCTTTCGGGGATATGGCGTAATATTCTGGGGAACCACTTCCTATAGTACCGAGACTTTTAGATTATAGAAAAAAATTGTTCAAATAATAAGCAAATTCCATGCACAAGCCTCTCTTCATTGAACGTGAAACCTTGCCTATTTATTTACGAATTGTAGTTTTGTCAATACTGTGTGACTTAGGACCAGGAACATCTATTCGTGCAATACAGATATTTATAACTATAACTTACGTCATAGGAATCGTATTGATCAGGTATGAGAATCAACAGCTCACAACTAGAAAGTCACGTATAATATTTGTGTGTTACAGTATAACACATTGCCAGATGACATTAAACAATTAAATGGGTGAAAACCAGAACAGTATAAGTGACATTTTATAAAATCTGAGAAATCTGTTTATTTAAGTCAATACCACTGTACAATCAGGGTGCTTTGTTTCATTATTAAAACCACAGCATTTCAATTGTTCATTTAAACCACCAAAATACATTGCCACTGAAATATAGCCTGAAATACACACATACACACATGCTTATATTAGTGAGTCAGTATTTCAGATTACTCGGACAATTATGATTTCTCACATTTAAAGCAGTCTTCTGCATTTTGTAAGATTTCACCTGATAAATGTGTTGAATTTCATTGACACTGATTGGACCAACGAAGAAAGGTGGCTACTTTCCGTTGATATCCATTGAAAATTTTTTTTATTTTTAAACTATTTTTTATTATTATATTAAGATTTGTTTGGTGTTTTTGATAATCTCTGAATTGTTTAATTTTTTTAAACATATGAACTGGTTGTCTCTTAACCAATCACACAGCTCTTAAAATGAAGCAAATAAAATGAAAATTCTTAGTATTATAGTCCTCAATATTAACGTTAATTTGGTTAAGCTCTGTTGAATGGTATTGTTACGTCTCATCATAGTACATGAGGTGTAAATAATTTTTGTAAAATAAACATGTTTTTATTGCAGATATACTGTATATCCTCATTGGGGTGAAATATTGATGAGGTCCTGGTGGGGTAGTCCAATACCCTGTGACCCTTCTCACCAATTGCTGGGAAATGTTTCCTTATGAAGGAGTATCCTGCAAGAAGATTGTGGAGAAGAGCAGGATGTAGACTCCCTTATATTCCTCTCTCCCTTCTCTAGTAATATTCTTTGGGATGGGAGTAATAATTGAGGTTCGTGTTACAAAACAGATCGTTTGTGTTAGAGGAAAAAAATGTAGAAAATCAAGGAGAAGGATGACATTAGTCATGTGGAACCAGAGCACTACATTGTTTACAAAGCTGACCTAAAATGAGGAAAAGCAGTTCATGACATATACATTGATTCTGCTACAAAGCTGATTAAGGAAAAATTAGTGTTAGTTCAGAACTAACATGTTAAAATATATACTGGAGTCGGGACCAGAACTTGAGGCATTGAATTTAAAGTTGACTTATAGAATAAAAATTATGTACTCATTACAACTGTTTAAAGGACTTCAGGAGAATACACAGGAAGATGATAATATAAGGTGAACTGCGAGACAATAAAATAGATAATTGATAGTGTACCAAAATTCACCTCTGCACTGAATTCTCAGAAATGGTACATCTGAAAAAAGGAAGAAATAATAGAGAATTGGACAAATTCAGTAATTAGTCAAATTTAAAAAAAGATGAGTGGCTCCGTAAGAATACTTGAGGAATACTATTGCTGAACATTACGTATGAAACGTCAAATGTCCTGACACGAATCAGTACGCTGAAGAAATAAATAATGATAATTACCTACATATTTTCTTAAATGATAACTTAATGAGCAAGATTGTCAGGCTTGCAAGAATTCCTAAATTGTGTTTTGTGATCATTTTCCTTTCAACTTAATTATTAAGATACACAAACAATAGTTTTTCCCATAAACAATTTGAAAAACGTGCAATGCAATTTGCAATCATTGTTGAAAACAAATTTTAATTCTTATTTCCTGATGAAGTAGGATGGTGGTGTTGAGGGTTATGTGGTAATCTCATCATAATGTAATAAAGAAATGCAGAAATGGTGAGGGAGAAAAATGGAACTATTGTTGATTAACAGAAGATCAAGAACTTCTTTTGAATGATTCTTGTTTTAATTATTATTTATGAACATTTTTAATATCCTCTTCTCTCTCCATTGGATATAAAACAGGTCATTATCAGTTTGGGAAAATTTCATAAAAGGCCTGCTATGAATTTTCAGTGAGATAAAACAATGATATAATTTTATGCGTTGTCATTGCCAACAATAGTATTTATTACAAGAGCAGCTTTCGATGGCTTAGCCATCATCATCAGTTGTCTGCTTCCATTCAGCAGACAACTGATGATGATGGCTAAGCCATCGAAAGCTGCTCTTGTAATAAATACTATTGTTGGCAATGACAATGCATATAATTATTTCATTAGAAATGCCAACGACAACGCACCACAACACCTATAGAGATAAAACAAGTTCTTGTGGTTGAATAATTGCTTCTAGAACTGTACTACCGAGGAGGCTGTAGAAGTTTGAAAACTGTTTTTCCAGATCATTCATAAAGAGCAGACAGGATATGAATACAAAACTAATTTTGGTCAATGATCTCTGTAAGAGAAGGCCTTGTTTATCCAAGGTGAAAAGTTTGAAGAGAGTGGGTGAATTGTGGCAAATATAAGAAAAGAAGAAGAGATTAGATGGTAAATGAGAACGCTTATTTAGATTAGTAATGTGATAAGAGAATATCATTAAGAAAGAAGAATAAATTTATTCTTATTCTTGGAAAGTCCTATTTATCTATGATTTGCTTGAAAATTGCATGCAATCCATGCTTTACCTAAGCAAGTTAATGAAATTTTTGTAGCAAAGAAGTGGAAATTGAATTTATTTAGTAGAATTGTATTTTGTTTATTATATTTTGTAGAAAGAATTAACTCTGGTCCAAATAAGCCAGGTTGCTGTTGGAGGTTAATAAAATTTGCATATTTGAAAGAGCATATCCCTTTGGGTAATATCAGGTTTTAGTATTTTTTAAAACAAATCTAATAGTTTTTTTAAGGGCTGTTTGTCTGGTTAGGGACAAAAAATATGAGTGTACTATGTAGCTATGAATGTACAGTGTGTAGTTAACTTTTTCAGCAGAGAAAAAATCCAGACATTGTGATTGTTGATGAAGACATTAAACCACCATTGGAAGAAGCCATTGATAGAGTTCCATGTCCAATATGTTGGCAACTCTTCCCAGCAAGTGATATAGAGGTAAATAATGAATTAGTTGATTACAACACATTTCCATTCTTTGCATAGTTTAATTTTCTTCTGTTATCTGATAAATATTTTAAATGAATTTACTTTTCTAAAAAAGAAAACTGGTGGTTGGTGGGGCTATAGATTCATTCAAAATATTATTAGATTTTATACAAGTGTCTACTTTATTTCAATATGTTAAATGTGTTTAATTGCTGGCTTAAGAAAGCTTTCTTATTTTAATTGTTTTTTCTAAAATTGTTCTTACCATTGATTACAAGTGAATATAAATTTATATTTTCAGGAGCATGCATCAGAATGCAATCAGTACAGCCCAGACAACAGTTCTTCATCTGTGAAAACTTAACAGGAATTTCTGACAAATGGTATAAAAATTAGCACTCTTTATTTTCATTTGTATCTGTCATTTACTGTACTTCATTAGCATTGGTTACTTTTTGATTGCAGATATTTGTTATTCCGTGAAGCACAAGTATGTGGAGATCTATGCATCCACTCTTTAATATTTTTCACAATATTCTACTGGTTATTTTTTAAAACATTTTTCTACTGAAAGGCAGCTTTACCGAAAAACGAATGTCTATTGTACAAGTAAACATTACTTCAGGGAATGCTTAAACATGAACCATTTTTGCATGGCAGAAAGATGAAAATAATCAAAGAAATTGTAAATCTTGTGTTGTTTTACAGATGTTGTATTGCATTTTTGTGGTTGATGCATTTAATGTACATATTTTTTGTAGATGTAATTAGTTGAACATTCCTGAAAACAAATTCCTGATAATTTCTTTATGAATCATATGTTGAATGTAAAACACACTAGTTTTAGTTTTAAGTATGAGATCAAAAAGTAATAGAGGTAGTGAAGTTAATGGAATTTTCTATTAATTAAAATGTAGCTGTAGTCAATGTATTATTATGTGCCTTAATATCAAACAGTTATTTTCAGGTCATTCAATAAAGAAAACAAAATTTTATATGAAGTAGAAAACATAATTTGTTCAATCACTACAGGCCTTTATTTTCATGTTCTGTTCATAAAGAAAATATTTCCATCTATGCAGAGTAAATTAAAAGTAGAAGTAAACAAAAGCAATTGACTGCCAAAAGATGATAGATATTCTGCAACTCTCCTCAATAACTGGTTGCATTGTAATGTAATTTTGTTCAAAAACATATACATACAATTGGAATGAGTGCATGCACATTCTGTAACTTTTCATGTGAGACCTCTTGAGGCAGTCAGCATATGATGAGTAATTTCTTGTTCCAGAACAATTATAGCCTGTGTATAATTAAAAGAAATAGAACTTTGAGTGGTCTACATCATTTATATTGTGTAAGGATTCAAAGGTATTTCTATAATTTTCACCAGTACACAATTTTATTATATTATAGTACTTGTAAAAAATATATAAATATTCTATTTTTAATTTACAGAAAACAGAATGATTGTGCCATTTTGACAAGAATTGAAAATATTCAGACCTTGCCTAATCTCATTATATGTGTATTGAAAAAGAGGACGAATTTTGTTATCTATTACGTTTGTAATATTTTCATCTTTAATGTGTTTCATATTTATTAAAACATTGATAAATTTCAATTAATTCAGAAAAATTGTGTTTTCAATTAATTTTATATAATGGTTAATGCAAAAATTGTTGAATTCCCAGAAATTTTGTTATTCTAAAACACTGGTTACATTAGAGAAATAGATATACTAATTGATTAACATAAAAAAGACTGTTTTATCTAAAACCCCTACCTTTGGAAAAATTTGAGTTATTTGCCATTTTTCTATGCAAACAATTTTACAAAATTAATTTATTAGGGATCAATAATATTTAAAGAAAGAAAATTTATATTCTATTCTTTTCTGTCTTATTACAAAGGAAGGCGAAGGTATTACGAAAATATAATGACTAGGCTTTAAATCTGAGGAGATTTTATCTTTGAAACTTGCATTTGTCCCTAGGATACAATTTTCAACACTATGTTGTAATGTATATTGTATAAATATTAATTAAATTTGAGTGTTTAACAATTTAATATCTACAGAAAAACATGTTTAATTAAAATTGATCTGCATAAGTTACATGTCAGAATATGACAGCTAATAATGCTATTTTCAATGTTATTTTTTATAGTAGAGATTATGTTTCTTAATATACCGAAATTGGTGCAAAATCTGCTACTTGATGATTTATTAATGAAATAAAAGTGAAACTGCCAAGGCCCAATTGCCAAATTGCATAGTGCATGTTTGGATAATTAATATTTAATGGGTTACGGCCACAAAGCCATGTAGCTCCTCCATTACAAGAAATCTCAAAATTAAGCAGTTCTGTACATAATTAAGAGTGAACCAACAATGGATCATTGTTACACCTCCTGCCTTATAAATTTAATATTTTTAACAGTGGTAAGCACATTTCTGAGACCATGAGCACCATTGAGAAGGACTTTCACGAATTAATTTAAAATATTCATTGTATATGGCAGGTGGTGTTACAATAACTTAATGTTATCGAAGGTGACCAAATCTTAAAAACATAAAACCGAACATTGTGGCTAAAAAAAAAAAGGGAGGGGGGGTCACACGGACATACCAAAAAGCTACACACAAAAGTACACTCCAAACATTAATGGAAATGAATATCACGAATAAAAAGAAAATAAGTCCTCAATTTTAAGTTCATTTAAAGTATTTAGTTCTAGAAATTTCTTTTCATAAAAGTGGTGCATTATTTACAAATAGTAAACCATATTTTTCAAACCTAAAAGCGGTGCCTTTTAGAAGCAAAAGATCCAGATTATTGAATTTTTTTTCAATAATGGCAATATACAAGCTCAAACGATGCCAGAGTTCATTTTACCTTTTTAGAACCACCACTGTTTGTCTCCCTTCTTAATTTCAATAGTATGTGAAACACTTGTTAAGTCTGATAAGAGTGTATGATCTACTCGCGCTTACTTTTTTATAAACTAATGCACACCCAATGGAATACATTATGATAAATTTAAAATTGTTGATGGTACATAATGCTGATTAGTCATTTGTCACAATGAGACATTTTGGCATCCCGTGTTCCTTACAAAAAAATACGCCACAGGGGGTCATGAAAAGATCTGGCACGGCTAAAATGGGACGTCTGGTCACCTTGTATCGGTTAATGTAGAAAAATTGAAGTATAATAACCACTAGTGAATGCTCAGAAGAAAACAAACAATTATGAAGACACAAATAAAAAGTAATGTAAGTTTATATCTTTTTATGTCGTAATTTAATGTAATTACAATAACTAGTGATGCTAAAATAGCATTATAGAGTTGATAAATTCAGTTGCTTAATTTAGAAACAAAAACCTTACAACACATGGTGTAGCCAGATTCCATATTTTAATGGGTCCTTGATACCAAAAAGATGATTGACTGTAAAATGTCTGTGAGCAACGCTAGTGGTTAAACAGTTCTGCCGATTTTCTCCAAAATTACTATTTGGATCTGGCTTATGTTACAGCCCCTTGAATTAGAAATTGATATTTGAAATTAGGGGGTTCTTTACATTAAGCTCCTGGGCGATTTTCCAAAAAATGGCACTTTCCATTTTGATGAAATTTTGTTGAATCGTCTAAAGGACATTTAAGAAAATAGTGCAGGTCACATATTTGTTGAAAACCCAGATTTTTCGAATATTGAAACAAAATCAATTTTTTTTCAGGGACTTCCTTCAACTAAAATATTAAAGATAGAGATTTTTTCCCTTAATAAAATCAGTTCCTCAACGATCGATTTTGAAGTAAGGTCATGTACAATTTTTCAAAGATTAGTACAATATTGTGTAAGTATCAAGAAAATTTTTTGTGAAATTTAGGCAATTTTTAATGTTGTTTAAACCATATTGTTCTCAAAAAGAGCTCCATCGATTTTCATTCAATTTTGTTGTTGCATAGTCTGAAGGACATTGAAGAAAATGGAGGTCTCGTGTTGGTGCATAACTAATTTTTCGAAAATTAAACAAATTCAAAATTTGTTTGTTTTCTTACAACTACAATTATTAAGGTAATTTTTTTTCTTAATGAAATGTGTTCATCAAAATCAGATCTTCAAATAAGGTCATGTTCGATTTTTTATTTTTTTTATGTGTACTTTCTGACAAATTTTATGTCAAACAGGTTAGGCAATTTTTGTTTTCTTTAAACTACTATTTTTTTTAAACTGCAAACATTTTTCGTTTAATTGGGACCTTGGACAGCATAAAGGATTCTTAAGAGAATGTGTAGGTCTCATATTTGTTAAAATACCAATTTTTGCTAAAAAAAAAAAAAAAAAAAAAAAAAAAAAAAAAAAAAAAAAAAAAAAAAAAAAAAAAAAAAAAAATCGGCATCTTCCTACAACCACAATTGTGAAGATACAATTGTTTTTTTAATGAAATCTATTCATAAAACACGTCGACGAGTAGGGTCATGTTGAATTTTTCAAAAATCGTATTTTTGTGTAATGTGACTACAAAGTGGTAGAGTTCTCTGACTTTCGTCTGGTCATTTGCTTTCTTTACAGAGAAATATAATGTTTGAGAAGAAAGAAATATAAGGACTCCGTTGTACATATTAATAATAATAATAATAATAATAATAATAATAATAATAATAATAATAATAGTAATAATAATAATACGCACGCGTTTGGAGTAAAAACCAAAGTATGTACACTATAGTATTGTTTATATCGTACTATATAATCCATCGAATCTTCACTTCTAAGTCTGTGTTTCCACGTTTTTGAGAAACTTCTTTTTATTTCACGGAGAAAATCGTGAATTTTCTCTGAAGGTCTGATTCAGTCTGTCGATTGTGAAAACTATTGAGCAGGTTGTTGCTCCAAATGCATCGGGCGGTTGGTCTTTCATCGCCAACTGCCGCCAAGGACTAGAGCGGGGCCTAGGGCACGAACGAGCCTGGACTCGCGTAAAGTGGCCGTGGGGGAGGGGGCCCCGGGATTTCCAAGTCCAATATGGCACTGGGACAGTGGTTCGCGGTCGTTAGACAACGTGAAGAATGCTCACACCAAGTTCACTGATCGGCTCGCTTACTCAGTGTTTTTCTCCGCTTTACACTTCCTGCTCCATGTCCACGTGTCTACTACGTCTGTTCATCTCCGAGCCACCTCATTCTTATTGTTGGGAGCTGACTCGATATAGCAGATATATAGTATTTCTTCGAGGCTGAGGAATGCGCTCAATGTTCTTGAAAGCTGTCGCCCCCCCCCCCCCGCCTAATCAGGCGGCAAATTGCAAAACACGTCAATATGCTGAATACTTACACTGTATACTTCGGCGAATGCTTCAGTTCTACCTCGTATGTACGACAGATGACATTAATATTTAAATATGTGGAGACGATGATAACTAGTCGAGCAACCTTCCCCCATTCCCTCACTTGCCTCGTTTCGCCGAGTGGCAGGACGGGAATGTTCTGTGTCTGTCGGTCTGCGTGTCTGTCGGTCTGTGTTTCTATCGGTATGTGTGTGTCGGTCTGTGTGCGCTGTGTCTGTCGGTCTGTATTTTGTGCGGATGAGAATGTGTGTCTGTCGTGGATGGAAATGTTCGGTAGGCTTATACTGGCGCAAGAAATATTCAACAATTTGAGTTAACATTTATAAGGTCCAGAATGTCAACAAGTTGTAAATTTACGATATTCTTTTTACTGTTTTATTTAGTTCGGTTTTGGTGTCTACATTTCTTTGAACATCTATTTGTCTTTAGAGTTACGATTTAAAATCGAACACAGTTTCTTAAAGGCATTTCCACTCACGCTAATCTAAATGGTTCATTTATTAGAGACCTTTGATGTATTGTGATTAGTCTCGTGAATACAGTGCATGTTAAATTCCAGGAAATGGGAGTCTTCTTACCAACCAGAATTCTTGTTAAGCCAATCATGATCCTTGTTGAGCCAACCAATACCCTTTTTGAGCCAATCAAAATCATTATTCGGACAACCATGATCTTTGCTAAGCCAACCATGATCATTCCTGAGCCAACCATATATTAGTTGAGCCAATAAATATCCTAGTTGAGCCAACCAATAACCATTTTGAACCAACAATATTATTTTTGAGCCAATCAGAATCCTTTGTGAGCCAAGCATGATCCTGGTTCAGCCACCTATAATCGTTTTTGAGCTAATCATGATCCACGTTGGCCAACCATGATCCTTGTTTAGCCAACCAAAATCCTTGTTGAGCCAACCAAAATCCTTGTTGAGCCAACCAAAATCCTTGTTGAGCCAACTAATATTCTTTGTTGAGCCAAACAATATCCTTGAGCCAAACAATATCCTTGTTGAGCCAAACAATATCCTTGTTGAGCCAACCAATATCCTTGTTGAGCCAACCATGAATCTTGTTAAGCTAACTATAACACTAGTTGAGCCCACTATGATCCATTTTAAGCCAATCATGATCCTTGTTCAGCCAACCAAATTCTTGTTGAGCCAACCAATATCCTTATTGAACCAACAATGATCTTTGTTAAGCCTACCGTGATCCTTGTAAGCCAACTATGATATTTGTTAAGCCAACCATAATCCATAAGTGGAAGATCAACCCAGCAATCGATCAAGTGAGAAATCGACCCAACAAGTCGATCAAGTGAGGGATAGACCCAGACGGTCGATCAAGTGAAGGATCGACCCAGCAAGTCGATCAAATGGAAGAATAGCTTAGCAAGTCGATTAAGTGAGGGATCAATCCAGCAAGTCGATCAAGTGGGAGATCGACCCAGCAAGTCGATCAAGTGGGAGATCGACCCAGAAAGCCGATCATGTGGGGGATCGACCCAGCAAGTCGATCAAGTAGGGGATCGACCGAGCAAGTCGATCAAATGGGATCGACCCAGCACGTCGATCAAGTGAGGGATCGACCTAGCAAGTCGATACAGTAGAGGATCGACCCAGAGAGTCGATAAAGTTGGAAATCGACGAAGCAAGTCGATCAAGTAGGGGATCGACCCAGAGTCGATAAAGTTGGAAATCGACCCAGCAAGTCGATCAAACAGGGGAGCGACCCAGCAAGTCGATCAAGTGAGGGATCGACCTAGCAAGTCGATATAGTAGGGGATCGACCCAGCAAGTCGATCAAGTGAAGGATCGACCCAGCAAGTCGATCAAATAGGGGATCGACTCAGCAAGTCGATCACGTGGGGAATCGACCTAGCTAGTCGATCAAGTGAAGGATCGACCCAGCAAGTCGATCAAGTAGGGGATCGACCCAGCAAGTTGATCAAGAAGGGGATTAACCGAGCAAGTCGATAGAGTAGGGGATCGACCCAGCAAGACGATCAAGTAGGGGATCGACCGAGCCAGTCAATCAAGTGGGGGATCGACCCAGCAAGTCGATCAAGTGGGGGATCGACCCAGCAAGTCGATCAAGTGAAGGATCGACCCAGGAAGTGGATCAACTGGAGAATCGACCTAGCTAGTCGATCAAGTGAAGGATCAACCCAGCAGGTCGAACAAGTGGGGGATCGTCCCAGCAAGTCGATCTGACTCTCCTCTCTTCTATTATAACTATTTTGTCAGTCAGTCCTTCCGTCAGTCATTCCGTCAGTGCGTCCGTCCGTCAGTCAGTCCGTCCGTTAAGCCGTTCGTCCGTCAGGCAGTCCGTCAGGCCGTTCGTCCGTCAAGAAAACCGTCCGTCCGTCAGGTCGACCGTCCGTCCGTCAGGCCGACCGTCTGTCCGTCATGCTGACTGAGGCCGGCGGTCTGTCCGTCAGGTGTTTTCGTAAATTTCTGTTTACAACACTCCTATTCGTCCGATTTGCATGATTGTCATGGTGTTGGATTCAAGAAGTATGTCGTCATCGCGCTATAAGGCCACGTTTTTAAATTTGTTCTCGGTAGTTCTAGAACTAATTTCAAATTCGCGTTTTGGCTAGATTTTGGAAAAAAGGTCTTCGTAGCGTAAATTCTATTTTAAATTGGCATCAAATGCCGTTTACAAATCGAAAATCGGACCATTGGTTCAAACGGTATCGGTAAAGTAAATTTTACTTATTTTGGCGCTGCCACGTGGTGGCTACAAATTGTAATAGTGTCGTGACATTTAGCCTTAAGAAGTTGTTTCACTTTTGTCACATTTTCGTCGATCCTTGATGCTGACGTTGGTCACCCTCGACCTTTCCTCCCAAAATAACTTTTCCCTCTCAAAAACACTTGGGCGGCTCAAGGCAGCACACCCTTAGGCCTGCTTGATCATGTCGAAAGTTTCCATGTCGGTTTTTCCAAGTTTTAAGCAAAACTTCACTGCTGTAGCGCTGCTCGAGATTCTGTTCCATGCCGAGCGTGACGACTCTCCTTTACAGTGGTTCATGGGAAACAATGTGTTCTTTCTCTAATGGTACGCAGGCAACTGCAGAAGATTGCGTTCTCTTTTTGAGGGTCCCCACATCACGACCAGCCAGTCGGTCTCCTCTCCGCCGGTTTGTCTGCCCTACAGAAAATCATTCCTACTTTTTGATCTACCTTATATTTATCTCGAATCCCGAATAATATGGAGCACGAAGTCTAAAAGTCATGTAGGCTTTATGAGATTGAGTCATTGCTTGGTGAAACCATGGTGGAAAGAGTTGGTGGGCTAGTCCCGGGCACCAATTTTTCTCGTTCTACGCAGCACAAGTTTGTCTCACAAATCCGATGATCACGATTCATCGATGAGCAACAAAAAAATGACTGAAGGAGTAATTGAAGTAAAAGATGCAATGTTTTTGTAGAAAATGCTTTAGATATCTGTTTCGATGACTTGGAATAAGGTGATAATTTTGTATCTGGCTGCATTTAACATTCCAAAATTGTCATACACTTGGGCCTGAAGCTCACTGGCTGGGGTCGAATACGATGCGCAATAGCTAACCCTTATTTCTCCACAGTGGCGGCTCGTGCATACGCTTCAACATAGAGCATTTGGTGCGGCAACAAAAGGATAGGAAGTTTGGTCGCCGAGCGCTGTGTGGTTCGAGGGAATCCTAATTTTCTGTCTTTGTCTGACAAGCTGTAACTTAATTTAATGAATTTCCCGTGTTATTGAAAGTAAAGTATTTTAAGTGTTGGCATAGGCGGCTTAATTAATTCAAATTTGGAGCCATACTGGGAATTAAATCATTTATAATAATTCTTTAGCGCTAATTAGCAGCAGACACATACATTTCAAACGTACCGCACCGGAGAAAAATTATCCACCGGCTGAATTCCAGAGGAAAGGAATCCCATTTTTCCCAATGAAACTCTCTGAACAACCTTGAAAGATTACCGAAAGATCGCGCCACCTGCCGGCCAAGTAGCTTTGCGTGTTGTCGTAATTTCTCGGAATCCGATTTTTTCTACATTAGACGCAAGATCGCATTGTTTGAGAATCAGGAGCCGAGCAATTTCGTGGCGACACGCCTCGCTCATGTGTAGAAGCTACGTAGTATGCGAGTGTCGACTGCACTGCGTTATTACGTGATATTGGTATTATGTTTCCGAAGCATGTTTACGTGCGCTTCCCGTGCAAATTTCACTGTGCACGAAAATAACAAACTGTGTGGAGAACGCTTTCGGTTCCCCAGAACCAGGTAACGCTAGCACTTTTCTTCATTTAACACCTGATGATTCTTACGCTGAGAAGGTTAATTGACGGTGCTTTGAACGTTTTCGAAGTGACAAAGCGTAAACAGGCGTTTTAGCAGATACCGGGCAGAATTTCTTTAGAAAAGCTCTCCCAATAGTTCGCTACTTCAACAATAGGTTCATTCAGTTATTGACAGTATTGAATGCATAGCATGTTTTTTCTTACAGAGTACATTTGATTATGAGAATGTTCGTTAAGTTGGCCATTCCGCAAGGAAGTCCATTTCTCTCACGGTGAGTGCGTATTTTCGGAGTTACGTTACAGTCTGCGAGCGATGTTGTGTGAGTGGAATATCTTTATTACAATATATAATAGGTTAGTGAAATTTTCGAAATAAAATAATTTTGGAATTTTGAAAAACGTGTCCCAGCAATAGAGCTTGTTGCCAAGAGCTAGAGTGCGATCACTGTATTTTCAAACCAACTTCTTTTTTTATGAATGCATGCATTTGTTTGATTAAAAGAAAAATGTATCGCCGATGCAGACTTCATTCCAACAAAACTATTCTGACAGCCGTTGGGACAACGTGGTGACGGATCTTTTGATCTCCAGAAAGAACGATGAAACCTTCAACCCTTGCTGCACATTCAAGGTCACCTGTCAGTGGATGAAGCAGATTCGTGGAAACCCTAACATTTAAGCGAAATGAGACGCAGCGGAAAGAACACAATTTTTGACCAGCGTCAGGTGGTTATTTACAATCATGCATAAAGCAAATAATACCGAAAAATTGGCAAAAATGATATTAGTGATAAGAGTACAGCGAGTCTCATAATCTCATCAATGAAGACGACTGCACTGCAACCCGGAGGATCTCGCCTGAAAGCATTTTCTGATCGAGAAGAGAATCTCAGAGTGAGAATAATAAAGACGGATTCGAGTATTAGTGCACTAAAAATTACACCACAATTGGAAATTGTCTTAGCAAAAAAGTAACTCCTGATGCCCTTGAAGGGTACTAAAGAGGTCCAATTTCCATAGCCGCGTTGTCAGAAGGAAGTAATTTATAAGTAAAGCGAACTGTCGGTACAAGCAAGGGTTTGCTAAATACTCGCAGAAAATGATGAAGATTAGTGGAATAGAGTACTCATCGTTGTCAATGAACATGCCTGGACCCGATGGATGAATTTGAGTTTGGAGGAGACTCAATTAAGAGCTGAAATGAGGAAACATAAGCAACCGTGAAACAAGGAGGAGAAATGTAATGGTGAGGGGGTTCATGTCTGTCAATGGTGGCGGTGAACTTGTGTTCGTAGAGCAAACGAAGAACTGGTTCAATTATCTTGTTCTTAAAAAAAAAATAAAACAAAGTGCTGAAAATCTTGGTATTTTTCTTAGATTTTATTTGTATCAGTACAATGATCCCTATCACAAGTCGCAGATTGTTCAACTTTGGATACTATACAATTGCCCAAAGGTTATTCATCTATCCTCTCAGTCACCAGACCTTACTGTTAGAGAACATCTTTTGGAAAAATTAGAAAAGATGATAAGAAAATACCCAATTCATTCCAAACAAGAATTAAAGAATGGAATTCAACAAAAATGGAGAAACAATTATCATTCTTATATCCCAAAACTACAAAGTATATTGAATATTATATGAAGGAAGTGCTGCAGCGAAATATGATGGTTTCAAGACATTGAACTCTCTTACTGTGTTATTTTTTGCGTATTTTTCTGTTTGAACGTTATTTATTGTGCATATTTGTTTATATTTCTAATAAAGTGTCCGAATAGTTTTGTGAGTTAAGATTTCAGCATAAAAATTCAAATGTAAAAATATTTGTTGATTATTGTGATTTTTATAAAACTTTCCTAAATACCTTATAACTGCTTGTGATAGTAATATAATAATATACTTTATTACATTTATTTTCTTCTTTTAATATTCCTAATCCATATTTATTCTGCTAAATTTCGTGTGACCGAATAGTTTTGAGTTATTGTATTTACAATCAACGTCTCACAAATATTGCTAGGTCTATAACAAGTATAATTATATGCATATGAAGATAATTTGGTAATTACTGCAAAGAAGATTCACTCTCTACAAGACTGTGTCAATGGCTTGATCATATAGGCTGCTAAAACTGAATTGGTGATAAACGGTAAGAAGACGGTCACAATGTTCTTTAGAAAGAGACGTAAAGTTGCACGAAACGAAAATATAAAAACAGAACATGATATAATAAAATGTGTACGGCCGTTCAGATATCTTGGGGTCACTTTCCAAACTTAAGGAACCACTTTCAGTGCGCATGTTAAAGAAAGAACTGCTGCGGCATTAAGAGCCATGAATGAAATAAAAACCCTTACATACTCTCAGTAAACCCTAAAAACAGATATGCAAATTTTAATGCAAAGATCATCCCTACACTGGTGTACGGAATTGAAGTCGTCTGGGAACATCTCAAGAAAATTGATGCAGCATTTTTTTAATATTGAAACTTTTATTTCAATTACACGGTCATCGGGTTACTTTTCATTAAAAATTGTCACTTTAAGCCACTTTCAAAATGATTCTCAACACTTTTTCTTCTTCATGGAACAAGGCGGTCTGCGACTATAATATATAGTCTATGTATTTTTTTTATAGTTGAGTTTTCAAACGAAGTGCCCGTATTGTGGTCACGTGGTTCGTGACGTAAACTGGTGCTGCGCAGAACGAGTAAAAATCGGTGCGTCGGAGTAGCCCACCTTCCATCTCGCTTCATCTTTCCATCATAGTTCCTACCAGATATATACTCTCTGGTTCCTACCACCGCGGTTCCTACTATTGACATTCAAAACAGTTGATCACGAGGTCACAACAGGTGCTGAGTGACTAAGTGTCATGTCTGAGCTGTCATGAGTTCGTTTTTGTGAGTGAAGTTCTTGTTTAGTCAAAATAAAATCTTGAACGAAAAATGTTTTTTCACATTCTTCACTTTCGGGAATGTTGAAGGGCACAACAATGTAGAACACCCCTGACAATAGAATCTGATTGTATATAATACGAAAATGTTTTCTTAGGGCAATTGTGAATTGCAAACAAATATAACCTGGACCAAAGATTACGATGTGTGATTCCGAGTATTTGACTATTTTGGACGATATTACGCTGTTTTGTCCAGGTTTTGTACCGGAGGCAACAAGTGACATTCATTGTATTTTAGATCAGTTGCTTAAAGTGAGTGAAACCATTACAATTAATAACATCATATGATCTTTTATGAAGTTATTGTTTAAATCTTTTTGTCTAGTCACTTGTGGGAGATGAATCTTCAGCACCAAAAAAATTGAATCTAATTTACTTTTTGGAACTGAAATCAAATACACTGTGTGAAGAAATTGGTGATGTTGAACTTGTACTGGCAACATTGAAGGTAATGACTGAGATTTTTGGCACTGGTAATGTCTAAGACTTAGACACAATGAATGATCAAATAAGTACGGCATGTGTCTAGTTCTATAGTTCTTGGTATTAAATTGCTAAATATGACGTGTTTTATATTTCATTTTTATTTTTTCAGAATGTATGTAATAGCTCATCTGGAAATCAAGTACTGCTTGGTCAATGCCTTATATCCAGCACAACAATTTTGTTAGAATCTTCTGAGAAGGTATATTATTTCATGAATGAACATAAATTTGACTCTGAAAATTAAACAATATTTTTACAGATTTTTTAAAATAAATTTTTTGTTTTAAAGTTTCTTGGTGCAGAATTTGACAGACTTTTCAGTCAACATGTAAATCTGTTGCTTGATTATGTAAATCAAAGTAATTGCTCTGAGAATGTGTATGTGAGATCTGTTTCTGCAGATAGTCTCATTGAAGTGGAGTTGTGTTATCCAGTAAGTATACTTCTTAAAAATTTGTACTAGTTCTACAAAATTTTGCCTAGTGTTAATGAAAGAAAACTGCAGAGCAACAAATGCTAGTTTAAAGTTAGAGCTCCACTCTTTTAAAAGCTGTTAGTAGAAATTGTAATTAATACTTGAATACATGTTGGGAATTGCAGAAGAATAACCAACTATTTAATGTGTCACTATGTTAAGTAAAAAATATTCTTTATAATTCTATAGTTATGTTGAAAAAGCCGACTTGTCTATTTTTTAAATTTTTTGGGAGAGCAATTTAATTGTTTGAAAGTACACTACAAATCAGGAATAGTTGTTAACTATTATTCTATTAAATAATGCTAATTCCATCAGATCACCAATTCTAATGATTTCAGATACATTTCAGTAATCAATTTCTAATTATTACCTTCAATATATTAAGTAAGTGTAGGCAAATTTTGATGACATAAAAACATCACCAAAAATGATCAATAAAATAATGTTAAAAGGTTTTTAAAATGCCCTGAAAGCAAAGAAAAATGATGTGATCAATTCAAATGAACAACACAAGCTGGAGCTTGGATTAGTTTATTACTGATGTAATTGAGGCTTCTTCCTTTCGTTCAAGTGATCTCAGCTTGCAAACTTTTGCTTCTGTACCAGGAAATCTGTGTTTTAGTTATTGCAAAATTGGCAATGAATTGCACTGATGGGCATAATAATAATAATAGTAATAATATTTTATTGTTTATAGAAAGTATCATCATTTACAGAAAGTATCAACCAAAGTCTGCTTACAATTGTCTGTCTAGCATCACTATAATAGTTGTCGAGCATCACAGGAATCTTAGATTGCATACCCACGACTGACATTACAATTTCTTGGCGAAAAAATCAAATAGGCTACTCAGGAGTTCTGTAGATAACATTTGCTGCATCTCATAAATATTATTTGAAGCAGGTACCATTAAAATGATAGTAAAATCAATGAAATCAATGAAAAATGCTTTAAAAATGATGGAAGAAAGTAAATAAATGTCTTGTTAGTTGAAATCAATGAAATATGCAAAAAAATGTGATATATATAAATGACAAATTTTTATTTGTCATAACAGAAAATTAGTGTGTATACTAAAATGAATTGTTGTAAAGAGAAAAGAAGAAATTACATTTCCTTAAAATTGCCCCTTCGTTATAATCTTCTGAATTATATTGAAATCCTAGACTTTTTGGTTCTGATACACACTGACCATCTTTACCACTGGAACATAATTGATATCCTCATCAGAAAATGAAATGAACAATAATTTAATATTAACAAAATGTTATGATTAAAGATTATTAACTTGTCTTCATTTACTTGAGATATTTGATTCAATAAAGCCAACTCAATAATTTCTGTGTTCTGCTTTTAAACATTTTAATGTATTAATGAAAAACTTAACCCTCCTACTTAAAATCCAGGACAAATAATATATGGAAATCATTAATGCATGCATTTATATTATTATGATCATCAGTGGTACTAAAATAAAAATATGTGATATAATATGAGATCACACCAGCTTTTCTCACGTTAAAATAATTAAACATTCATGTCATTATATAACATGAATGATTAAACATTCATGTAATTATACGACAAGTTCTTATTTAGTCAGCTTTTGCTGTATAACAAAATTAAACATTTGGACGTGATATCAGTGGACACAGATAATATCCAAATAACTACTAAAGATTATGCACATCATGTTTTGCCAGATGAAAGAAAGCAAGATTCAAAGTATATGTCAATCAAAAACTCAATTTTACAATTTTGGACACGTTAGCTTTTGCCTATTACTACAGAATTTTCCTGTAACGTGCATTTTAATATTTTCCATGAAAATGCTAACAATTGCTTCTTGTTCATAAATTGTCATATTTGAAATATGATCATTATTTTTAATAAAAGTGTAATTTGTATATTGCTTTGCTTTTCAGCTTGTTTTGAAACCATGTCTTGAAAATATTTATGCATTAACAGTTAAAGAACTGTCTGCAGCTCATCAGCAGTACACTTCACTGCTTTCACTTATGATGAAACATAGTTCAGCAAGCTCTCAATTTGGATCACCTTTGTAAGTGATCTGAAATACAAAACTTCTTCCTTGGATTTAATAGATCTTATTGTTTTATTCCTCTTTCTGTTGTTTCAGATGGAATACATATCCTCAACTTGTTTTTAAAAGTAAATTTCTTGGTGAAAATAATTCTGCAGTTGTGTCGTCTGTGTATAGTAACACTCAGGTTTGTATTATAAAAGTTTTCAAATTCAAATAATAAATATGTCGAGAAAACTTAATTTTTTCCAGTAATTGTAGTAGTTCACTCTTAATTTTGCTTCCTTAGTAAAACTGAGCTACTATTGAAAAAGAGTACTTCAAGTACTCTTGAAGATTTGCTAGTCGTAAACAGGTCTCTGAATATTTTATAATTGAATGAATTGAATTTATTAGTTGTTTGATTTAATATAATTTTTCTGTTTTAAAAATATTTTGTAGTTACTTTTGTACTAGCTTTGTAATAAATTTCCAAGGGATATGTTTTTTTTGTTTCATCATAACATTCATGAAGTATAATCTTGAAGAGATCTTAATTTGACTTTATCTGCACATTTTGCTAATTTAAAGAACAAATTAAATGCAATTTTTAACTGCAACTTAAGCCAACGCTTCAGCCAACGATTTGATCATCTGCAGATCAGAATTGATGAACAACTAATGAGAATTGATACCCAACAAATTAAATTTGATGACCAGAAGGCTAAAATTGTCGGTTTGTTGGGGTGTATCTCTAGACTTGAAGAAAACGAACCACTAAATTCTTCACCATTTGTAGAACAGGTCCTAGAACAGTAGGAGGAGCGTCTCCACTGAGAAAGGAGTGTAATTTTCTTCAACATCAAACAAGACTCCAAACATCCTGATGATCTTGAGAATTTAAATTTTGCATAGTTTATCTATGCAAAATGCTCTCTTTGGGTGGTGGTGGACTGGGAGGTGCTGTTGGGGATGGTTTACCCTCCTCTGGCATGTGGTACTGAGAAATATGTCAGCTATGCAGAGTGTCTTCTAGGAATTCTTGAGACACAACGACCTCAATTGCTGATTACTGGGGTCTGTTGGAATGATCTGGGTGGATCTAGAGTAATGTCTTTATCTTCACGAATTGCTGAATCTATCTGGTCATTGCTAGATGCTGTTGTCGATGTTCATCAGCACAATAAAGTGAAATCACATGGTACACTGCCTGACTTAATTTTATCCAACCAAGATTCTATTGTTGTCACCAAAGGTATTGATGCCCTGTTAAAGTGCAATGCACATCATCCTGCTCTGGTTTTTGAGCTCCCATTGGTGATCAATTCATCTTCATCGATGTGGCCTTCGGTGCTTTACAACTCTCACAGGGGAGATTATTATTCTATGTGTTATTGTGTAAATTATAGCGATTGGGACTTGTGCTTTAAAAATTATGCCACCAACAATATCATCAGAAACAGCAGAATCTGTAAACTTGCGAATGAATTAGGATATGTTTTAGACTTCTTTAAGTTTAATTTGATACTCTTTAAAGCTTGCTTGGAAAAGTCTTGTCTGTATTGAATCTATGATGTTTTATTTTGTTTGATGTATTTTGACAATTTTTATTTTATCACTTTTATTGTTTAGTTATTTTTGAATCATTATACTATGTATCAATTTTTGTGAAGGGTTCATCCTGTTGAATAAATCAATAAACAAATAAATTAATAAATCAACAAACAAAGAAAGAAAGAAATAAACAAATAAACAAACAAATAAATAAAAAAAATAATAATTTTTTTTTTATAAAATATGTTTCTAGAAAAAATTATATTGAAAAAATGATGAATATTTTACAAATTGTCACATTAAATTGTTCGTACCAGAGAAACCCTTGTGTATGACCATCACTCACCCCTCCTACTTTTATTTGTTAAACAGAGGTATACTGTGATTTTTCTGACTGCCCTGGCAGGAATCAGCTGTTGACAGTTTCAACCAATCACGAGCTTGAACGTCCATAGTGATGTCACTATGGTAATGTTCGAGGTCGTGATGGGTTGAAACCATCAACAGCTTATCCCTGTCAGGGGCAGAGTTGGGGAAAATCGCTTTATAATTTTCTATTCAAACTGTTCAATATTTTAACCTGCAATGTACCTCTTTTTCTGTTTCAGTTAGTTTCCTTTCTTGTTGATCAACTTCCTTTCTGCAATCCAGAAGGAGTAGTATGGATTGCAAACCACATAATAGGAATGCTTCTCCATAATACTGAACTTCGTGCTTCATGTCGAGTACTAAAACCATTCTTTTTCAGTTGTGTTTATACATTCAACTGTGCAATTTTTTATTTACTACTTTATCTTGAGGTATGTACACTTTACAGGAAAAATTGGTTGTTTGTTCCATTCTAATATTAATTATGTACACAAAATTGTCATCTATTCCTAGGTCATTTGACTTCAGTTGACTATTTTGTTTTAAATGTAGATAATGCTAGTTGAACCCTTATGATTTCATTGCCCAAAAATAAGAAACTATAACTATATATAATGCCACTATAAGAAAAATCAAAAGCCCCAAAATATTGTTTAATGTTGTTTGTTTCTCATTCTCCGATATTAATGAAATGAGGGAGTTTTACCAATTCTGAATGAGCTATTCACAGTGAACACAAAGCTGAACATGTTTCTGAAAATGTAATTGAAATGTTTTATTTTTAAGACCTGTACATGTATTTGCAAGACAGGGATTTCTGCTATAATCTAGTAAAGGCCCTTTGAAAGAATGGATTTTTTGATTTAATGAAAAAATCTGTGTCTATGATTTCATTAAGGGCCTTTTCATGATTTAAGTGATGCAAATTTGGAGTATTTTGAAAAGCTTTTCTTCCCGTTATAAAGTACCTGTAATGCATGCCTGACCTGACCACCCTCAATAATTACATAACGCTTATGACAACTCACATTTTAGTGAGTAAAAATATATTATTCAACCGTAGAAACTATTTTTATTAATTTTCTTTTTGTTATATATTACCATTTATAATAATTACGTAATTTATGGACTACCCCTAAGGTAGTTTTTTGAAATTGCAAATGTGGTTTAAATACCAGTGTTATTGTTAAAAAGTTCAGGAAACAGTGAGGTATAATGTCAAAAATAATATTCCATACATTTTTAAAATTCCCACAGAAAGTATTTGGAAGAGAATTGTTTGAGGAAGAGGAACATAATTTATTATTGAAGCAGTTATTGTTGAATTGCAATCATCCATCTTTATCTAACAGCTTTCAACTTGTTTATTTGGAGCTACTGAGTGATTATTTGGGTCGAATGTGTCACCAGCTGAAGTCCATTGAAGATATCAGAATGGTATTGACAAATAATTTTGATGGACCAGACATTCAGCTTAAAAAATTTATCTTATTCAGCCACATTCTAAAACATAAAAATGGTAAGTCATTAAAATCAGTATAGAAATAGCATGAATTATAGAAATTAATTGTGATTAATAATTAAAAAGATTTGGTGTTTATGTTTGTTTTGTAGGATCATCAAAATTTTTGTTGCAAATTACAAATAATATGAGAAGAGAAATTAAACATAATAAAGGATTTAAATGTAAATCTGTGTTTATAAAAGCATTATATAAACTTCTTTCTGATTACGAAGATGTGTCCCATGAAGAAGTATCTAGGTAATTTATTTAAGAATAATAAAGTTACTGTGACACTGAAAGTGAGAAGTTTTAAGAAGTATTAAGAAATTATATATTAACTTCTTAATTCACTTTTAAAAGATAATTCATTTTATCATTGTCTCTTTTGAGGGCTTGTGGGGTCTCAACTTCCCCCTCCCCCCCTCACTTATAATTCTAATTAATTTTCAATAAAAATGTTCAATACTATACACATACATAAATTGTAAATAAATATATATTTTAAATAACTATAAACAAATAAAAATTACTTTTAAATGCAAAATTCTACATAAGGACACTCTTAAGTCAGCTATACACACCTTCAGCTTTCTCTACCCTGAAGATTCTGGTTGCATTATTGATTGGCACTGTTTTCAGTGATTCTAAAATGTATATGCCATTGGTAAGGTAAGGTAAGGAAGGAAGGTGAAAAATAGGAGGAAAAGGGAGAAAATAAAATAAACTCAATACAAGCAAATGACCATGAACAAATTGAAATTGAAATTTAGTAATATATTAATGTCTCACTATGATTCAGAGACCCTGAATGGATTGGTAATCAGTACTGTTCAAATATAAATAATTATTTCAAATTTTCGTGTGTGGAAAAATTAAGGAATATGTATATTAGTTATTCGTTCAAACCTTTTATTTTAATTGTTTGTTACAGGCTCGTGGTTTTAGCTTCAACAGAAGATATTTCAACAACTCCCTTTATAGTACATTTTGTACGTCAAGTGCAAACTTCATTTCCAGCTTCTCCACTGCCAGTGTTGATTCTGACATCTCTTGTAAATACGTACACACAACCTAACGAACACCTCTCTTTAGAAGCACTGTCATTTGTTATTGATATTTTTCAAGAAGCTGTCTCTAATAGGTGTAGTATTGAAGGTCTCAAGGTATATTGTTTCTCTTGATGTATATTATTTTGACTATAAAATATCTTTAAGTTGTAGAAAATATCGAATATCTGTTTGTAAAAATTTTAAAGATCAATGTTTTCATCTTTTTGTTTTCAGTCAATACTTATTTATTTATACAGACATATATTGTGTGGTGTTATATGCAAATCGCTCAGTTGGTCTCTTGGACATAAAATGTTAAAACTCTGTTACTTTATGATGAAGGAATATAATACAACTAATTTTTTTTATGGTGAGTGTTTACCGATTCTCTGAAATCAAGAGTGTGGAGATGATCAGTTGTATCCTTCATTGTTTATTTGCAGAACTTAGTAATGTTTTGCAAGGTTTCATCTCTAAGTGTGAAAATGATGATGTTCAAGATAGAGCACAACTGTATTTCTGTCTTCTTCAGTCACTTTCTGACAAGAAGGTTTGTGGAATTTGGCATGATTTAGAATATGGAGTTCAAAATGTTTCTTTGTATCAATCATTGATTTCTTTCAGCTTAAGGCTGTTCTTCAGGGTCCCAGACAGACCCTTCCTCTCACGGATGACAGTACTTTTCATTCTCAATTCTACTTTCAAAAATTAGATAAACCAATTTTATATCTGTGTAAAGAGAACCAATCTACCTCAAGTGATGAGACTTTCAAATATATTGTAGAAAGTGAAGAAGGTAAGTTAAGAAATATCTTAAATTAATTAATTAATAATAAAAATACTAATACTAATGATAATGATAACAACACTAATAATAACCATAAAAACAACAATCATCATGGTTGTAGTTGACATTGTCATCAACAATAAAATGACTACAGTACTGACAGCTTATAAATCACTCTGACTGTTCTCTCGCCACATACTGTGGTACGTCATGTGACCTGCTCTGAAGTAGTCAGCTTGTGAGTCCAGATAGCTCTGTCCTCAAAAGGGATCCTCAAAAGCAAACAAGCATCAATGAAAAGAACGAAAATTCATTGGTATCATCTTTGTTGCCCTGTTAACACAACCGAAACCTGAAACCTTTGCATCCACAAAAAGAATACAAGTTGTATCTTCATGTTGTCCAGGCTTGCAGGTGTGTTTTCATCTCAATAGAGATTGGTGCCAGGAGGGAAAAGTAATGAAAAAGGCAGAAAACTGCAGTAATAAGGCAAAATGCCAAAAATAGGCATCAGAAGATAAAAATGACAAAAAGCAATAGCAAGATTAAAATCTACTAAAACAACTCCAGAAGTACAATGAAGTGTGTTGTGTTGTTAAAAGTCTTAAAAATGCATCAATAATAAAAAAGCATTTTGGCATTCTTCCAGGCTCTAATTACGAACATGATATCAAGAGATGTCATAACCTGTCAGTAAGTCTTAACGTTTTGAGATTTAATTTATCTTTGTAAGTGGTGCTATGTGCATAATAAGGTGTGACAACAGCACACTGAACTGTCAGAGTTGCTTATATGCTGCCCGCACTGTAGAATTTTTGTATTTAAATACTGAGAAAATAATTGAATTTTTTTTTTTGAGAAATAATGAGCTGTTGAATGAGGAATATTGATGTTTTTAATACATTAATGTGAATGATCAATCAATATAAATTGTATTTGATTTGTTTATGTGTATTTTTACAGATATCATTACAGCGTACAAAAATTTTATAAAAGCTAGTTCATCATGTAAAAAGCTTGTTTTAAAAATATCAATAAAATTATCACAAGAGTATGAAAACCTGGATTGCTTAGAAGGTAAGATTAGAAGTTCCCTTCAGTTAAACATGAATGGAGATGGCATAAATTCTTCTACATATATATATACATACTATATATATATATATGTGTGTACACATTCACACAGTCCAAAGTGAGTAGCCTTAGCACCGAAGTATCTGTCCGAGAGAAAGAGAGTCCGTACACTTTGCTGTTCACAATGCACTGATGCACTCGATACTGCTGGTAGGCGCTCAATTGCCCTCTCCCCGCCAGGGTGCTGCTTTATAACCCGCTGAGGCTGATAGCCCGCTTCGGCTAAGGGTCTGCTGGCCAGCCCCCGGATAGGGGTGGTGCCTCCTTTTTTGGTGCTTGGTTACGCATGACGCCGCGGCAGCTGCTGTCGTCGCCTTTTTTTGAGAGGCTTCGGTACTAGGTTCCGTCGGTTCTTTCAATGGTGCGCAATCGACTACTACAAAATCATATTAATATATTTGCCAAATTAACTTGTGTCTTCAATACTGTAATGATGGGACTGATTGGTTTTCCATTCCTGAAATTTCTTTTGATGCTGTATTGTCAGTGTATATCATGCCAATCATTTATTTCATGTGTGAAAATTTGTTTTGTATGTGATATTTTAATTTTATTCTATTTGTTAAAAGTTACTTTTTAAACCAATATTTTTAAATTTATTTATTCTTTTCAGCTTTGGCTATATTTATGGAATCGTCTGAGAATTGGGGTAAAGTAGAACCTGTGTTGGTTGGTCATTACAAGGAAGATAATCTTTCAGTACATCAGAGTAATGATTTTGTGTACACTATGATTTGTTATCCACACTATCCACTGCCAACACAATTAAAAGTAAGGTGAGTAATTATTAATTTCTTAGTTATTCTTAACTCTGGAAGTAAGATTCTAATAATTTAAGTTAATGCCAAGATGTTTAACGTGATTAAATGCAGTAAATATTGCTCCATGTACTAGAGGTCATAAAAACCTTCGAAACATTCTTTAAATAAATTATCACAGGTAATGCCAGTGCTCGGGAAACTATCGATAAGTACCCAAGTTATGAAGTAACTCATAAATTTATCTGAGAATTTTCAAAGCATGAGTGATATTGATGAAAACTATTTCATGAATGAAAACAACCAATTAATTAAAATGTACATTGTATATTTAATTTATCATAACATCTCAATGAATGATGCAAACATGCTATAATGTAGAAATAATGCTGATGGATTTGGAATAATGGAAGATCTCAATATATGTAATAAATTAGTTTTTTTAAAATTCGTGTCCACGAAATTACATTTATGAACACAATTTTGAAACCTGTAACTTGAAGGAACTTCAGTGTAGTTAGTGGTTGAAATTGTAGCTATTTAGGTTGATGTCAGCTGAGGACAATGTCCATGTGTATTTAGTATTTCCAAATGATATTTTTGTTTACAAGGTTCCTTGCAAATATGGCATCAGATAGGAAACAATAGCAGGCTCAGTAGTTTTACGTCCTCATTTATGTACGTGTATATCACACACACGCACGCACACGCACTCGCTCTCGCGCACGCACATACGTACGTACGTACAGAGTAATATATGTAGTATAGAGAAAATTATGTAATACTGCTGACAATCGATTTCGAGATTTCGACTGAAGTACACGTTTCGGGAGCCCCTGATAGCGAAATAATGGTTTTTTTTAAACGCCCCCCTGCGATTTCTACTATACCATATGTAGGTCCAAATTGATATTTCCGGACATTCTGGCCTGACTCAAAGCACTGTGATTTTGAAAAACATTTTTTAAAGTTCGGAGGTAATTTACATCAAGCCCTCTGAACATTCAAGTCTCATAAAATGGCTCCAAATTTTTTCATTAAATTCCTTGTAAGAGTAGCGTAAAATGCACTTATAAAGGTGGGATAGATCTAATTTTCACCGATTTTCACTGTAACCTGTAAAAAAAACCCAACAACAACAACAACAACAACAACAAAAACAAGCAATGCAAAGGGGCCCATGGACGCTCAGTATTATTGCGCAATATTTGGGTTTGTGCAATACAGTTGATCGTGTATAATTAGTAGACGAAATTTAAAGGTTGTGCAATATATTGTGTGAAATTCAAAATCTTGAAAATATATTGTGCAAACTGGAAAATGTTCTGCCGTCTGTTGGCAATATTGCGCAATATCCCCTCAGTCAGTATCAACACGTGTTCGAGCACGCATCGCCATGGCTGCCAACCAAGCTGATAAGCAATTTATTTTAGTCTTTATTGAGGTTTATCGTGGCCTTCCGGTTCTGGGGGATGTGAAGTGCAGCGATTATATTAATCGTGCAAAAAAGGGGGAGCAGTACGAAGTGCTGGTAGAAAAATATCCAGATGCTGAGAAACAAGAAGTGGTGAAAAAAATTAATTCTTTGCGAACAAACTTAAGGATAGAACTAATACGGAATCGTCATGCAGAGATAAGTGGTGCCGGTGCGGAGGATGTGGAACCTGTGCTATGGTATTTTGAAGAAAGGAGATTTCTCCAAACCCAAGAAACCTGCTTCTGCTACTGCGAAACTACTGCTTCAATCAGCATGATGAACATATTATGTTTTATAGCATGTTATTGATGCTGATGTGGTTCACAACGACGAGGATTATGATGATGCAAGTGAAACCAGCTCCCGCACAGTAAGTTGTCCATTTTATTAATTTTCTTAACAAGTTAATTATATGTAATATCTTATTAGTTATTAACATTTGCTGAACCAAAACAACTTCATTACGCTTTTTTACCAAATATTTCATCATACGTGTTTTATTATTATTATTATTTTTTATGTACATTTTTAATTATTGGTCGAGGAAATTGAACCTACACTTTTCCATTGCCATGAAACTTGGCCTTCATTGTTAAAGAAATTACAATATGTATCTCGGACTACTTTAGCACTAGTTGCGTTTCTGAAGGTATTGTTTGGCTGCAGCGCTGTCATCTCCTCCCTCCAGGATCCCTTCGTGACCACACCTGCCTGTAAATCCTCACTTTCACCGTGATTCCTAGTGACATAATAAATAATAACAACAAGCCAAGGCAACTGTTCTGGAGACAGTCAAACATGATGAGTTCTGTAGTACACCAAATCGACTGACCAAAACCCCAAAGGCATTTTCGATCACTCGACGAGCGCGGCTGAATCGATAATTTGAAAATTCTTCTCCCCACATTTAATCCTGTTCGAGGGTAGCGTTTTATTATATGTCCTGTCATCACGACAGCTTCATCTCCTAAGAAAACGAATGTCTATATTTGCCGACTGTTCGGCAGTTGTTCTTGTTCAGGAACTCTCAGTGTATTATCTGCAAGCGCTTGCCCAAACTTCGTGTAACTTATTACACCGCCGTCTGATATTCGCCCATTTATTCCTACATCAACCATGAAGAACTCATAATTCGCATTTGCCACTGCCAGCATCACAATGCTGAAGAATTTTTTATAGTTGAAGTAAAGTGATCCGGAATTGTGGGGTTTCCTTATTGCGACAAGTTTCACATCGACTGCTCCCAGACAATTAGGGAAATTCCACAGATCGACGAAATCTTGCAATTTGTTTCCATTCTTGTTCTGCAGTTGGTAACTGCAACAAAAAACATTGTACACAGCAACAAACAATTTCCAGGTTCTAGCGAATTTTCGATGAACCAAAAGCTATTGTTCTCATTTTAAACAATTTAAAAAGCTCATTTCTGAAACATTTTCTTCAAATCCGTTTCAGAGTACCTCAATAAAACCCTAAATCTTACAATTTTTCATAATTATATATGTTAGATACTTATAAATATACATGTATTATGTACTTTGAAAATTCACTCATTTTTTTCAGACAAATGATGGACCTTCCAAAAACAAGAAAGCTGGCGATTCCACTTGGGAATTGGTGAAATTGGCTACAAAGCGCCTTCAACAATAACATGACGACTAGTGACATAGTGGCTGCAGGTTAGGCAGTCGAGTTCAGAAAAATGGATCCACGACGACAGCTGTTTGCGAAAAAGGCCATCAGTGATAACCTCTTTGAGGGACAAATGGGCACCTTACACAGTAATTCGGTGAAAATTAAAACGTCCACCCCGTATAGTGTTCAGTCCCTTCCTTCATTCGATCATGATTCAGCAGAATGCCACCCCAAGACATAAGAACCTTTTTCGCTTCTTTTCAATAAGGCAGATAGTTTCCAAAGTCATGTTTACCTTCAGAAGATACCTACGAGTATGTCAATTTGTTTTCTAGCCAATGTATGCCAAAATGTTGAATGCCAAATAAATATTGATAAAGTTGACTAAAGTTCTTTCTTTAATCTACTCCTTGAGGCAGTTGATCAGAGCTACGCACGATACCATAACTATGCGACCTGTTGACTGAGGTGAAGCAGCAGTTAAAAACTTCATATCTTCAAACGTATTCCCGGTTGCGAGATATCGTAGGGTTAGATATTGTAGGGTTATGGAAAACCGTTGACTTATAGGAATAGCATCGCGCATAACAGTGCCCTTTTTCTCGATTTGAGGAGTAACCAAAACAACAAGCTCATCAAATAATTCTCCATTCATCCGTAAAAAGTTATCTGGTTCAATTAGTCTCAGTTTATTCAGTAATTTTTCGTGGGTGTACTTCTCCCTCTCAATAAACCACTGTTTGGCTCATTTTCTACGTTTTCGCGAGTTCGTTTTCGCACTGGCGGCCACAGCAATCATCACACAACACAATTGAGTATCACTCATGGCTTCACTTTCCCGAAATTTCTGGTTGGGACTGATTCTACAATATATTGCCATGAGGTTGTGCGTCTGTGTTCGCGATTGAGCAATATATTGCACAACCACCAATATCGCCTCTATACGATGCAATTATTTGCACAAACCAAAATATTGTACAATAATATTGCCCGTCTAGGGCCAACGTCCAAAATATTGTGCCACCCACATTGCGCAATAATATTGAGTGTTTATGGGCGAACGCCATTGTGTTCCGTACGCTCTGCCTCGAGCGCGGGCTTACAGGATCGGTTCGCCGTGGCGCACGATGAACGGCTCAGCGGCTGAGTCGAGGGCGCGTCATGACAACGCGACGCCAGGTGGCGTCGGGAGCCAGGTGGCGGCGTCGCCGTGACCTCGCCGAGGTACGCGGTGGCGGGGCAGGCACAAACGCTGCCGGGGCGGCCGCGTCCAGAGCGCGTCGCTGGGGTGGCAGAGCGCGGCGGCGTAGCGTCGCCGGGGCGCCCCGAAGGCCGGATCGGCGGCGCGCTGCGATAACGCAGCACCCAAGACGCTAGGCATTCACTTACTGGACGGAAATTCAGTGGTCAACTCAACTACCGTCTTCGCTCAACTTCTAATCCTGTCAGCTTTCAACTGACTGGCGAAACTCGCTGACTTGTCTATCTGACAGTCTGCCCACACTGACCGTCCGTTTGCGTGCTGGTGTCCATCTATCTCTCCGGCTGCCCGTCTGATGTCTCTCTTTCTCCGGTTGCCGGACTGATGTCCCCTGCTCTGCGACCAGTCGACCGACCCAGTCGCTCCCACTACCCCCACTCGGCGCCGCTCCTGCTGCCCCCCCTACCACACTTCCCCACTGCCTTGCGCCCACTAGTTCATCTTCACCGTTTGCAGCTCGTGCACAACATGAGTTTCGTGGACCGTGACGTCACTATATATATATATATATATATATATATATATATATATATATATATATATATATATATATATATAGAGCCACCCTATATTTTCACAAACTCCAAACGCCCCGGTGTGGCGTATCAATCAACTACACTCCCCTGATATGAGTACGGATGATCATATAAAAATAAGAGAAAGTAAGGCGGACAACCGGTAGTGTCTGTGCCAAATCTGTCACTGCATTCTATTCCCTGTCCAATGAGAGAACGAAGTGGACGTAAACAAATGCACGTGGGTATGCAATCGCTGATTGGCTGCAAGTCCACGACACATACTCGTCCGCGCACTTTTTTAAGCATACGCGTCAGAAAATAGTGGTGACAATGTACTGAACATGTAATACGGGAAGAACAGAGAATGTGTGATTTGGAAGGTGTGGCTGATATCTTTTTTGTTAATTCTTAAATAAACAACTTTGGCAGCGGCTGAAGTTCCTCTGAAGATTCGATAGCCACTGTCAGATTAAGACACCTCTTTTTCAATTTTTAAGTTAAATCTCGTGTCAATTAAATATTATTTTTGCGTGAATGTTTGCTTTCTGTGTAATAAAAATTCAGCGTTTTATATATACATCGTATTATAGGAGACAGCCCGCGATTTTCGTTGTGTGCATGAATTTCGAAATCTTATTGGCAATAAAATTACATTATTATTAAAAAATAATGTTCAATATTTCATTCAAAGCCATTAATAAATAAAATTAGTGAATTTTTCCTTTGCATACCTAGATGTCAGTTCCCTCTCTTGCAATATATTGCAGTTAATATTCAAAAAATCCCATCCTGGAGATTACGGTGTGAGAAACGTTTTGGCCATTGGCATCGCCATTTTAGTTTTTAATGTTCTAGAACGCTTCATGTAGGAATTTTTAAATAAATTTCACTAACATTTTTTAAAAGATCTCCCATGTCTTTAATTTGCACATTTCTAGCGATTTGTAAACACTATTGCACTTGTGTCTGGAAGTACTTATAATGAATTCATATGAAGTTTTTCGGAAACTATACTTTCCTGTGAAAGGTTAAAATTTTGCATTTACAGTAGCGCTGAAACGTCATTCCCTTAAAACGGTTCCAAATTGTTTAAAGGAAATTGACATTTAGGCCGATTTCATAAACATCTTCTTGGGTGATTTCTATATTCCTTGGAAGCGTCACGAACTCACCACACTTGAATCCGATTTTCACTGATAACTGAGTTTTGGAAATTTGGAAGAGATGAATTTTTTCTGCGTCTTCCTACAACTAAAAAATTGAAGATATACAAGATAAACATTCTCAATTCAAGGTCTTTCGTTGAGGGCCAGATTTTAAAAGAAAACAAAAACAACAACTTTTTAGCGTATCTATTTTGTTTTTCAAATTACTAATGTATTTGTTTGACTTGTCTCTCACGTCGTTAGTATTTACATTAGAGGCGATTTGTTCATATTATTGCATTTACGTGCACATGTGCTTTAAATGATGTAATAAAGTTCCGCGAAAACTCAACAATTTTCTCTGAAAGTGAACTCAAATTTCCGCATGTTCAGAAACTCTCAAACACCATTTTCTCAAAAACGGCTGAACATTTTTTCTTCTAACTTTTTCTACGGATAATGCTAATTACACTGTTTAATATGACATACAATTTATTTAGATGTATTCGTGTTTTTCTTAAAAAATTACACAAAGTAATTTTTTTGAAATATTTCTCACACCGTTAATATTCACATTCCTGGCGATTTGGATACATTATAGCATTTATGAGAAGTAGTGCTTCAAACGACTTCCAATAGTGTTTTGCGAAATCTCAATAGTTTTTTGTGAAAAGAGCTTCCAGTTTCATATTTACATTAACGCTTAAACGCCATTTTCGTAAAAATGGCACCAAATTTTTCAACGATAATTTCCATATAAGACGAGATTTTACTGTTCAATAATATTCTTAAAGTAATTTTTCGGTTCTGCCATTAGGGAACCGAAAAAATGGAGCAAATGTGAAAGAATGTAGTTTGGGCGGCGATAGATGGCAACTGGCAAGACCGGAAAGCTAGCCTCGATCATAGAAATTAGGAAACTAACTAGCAGGAGAACGTCTGTGTCATTCTGTAGTACTACTTGTTAATTTTTGATTTTGGACCTAGAACTTTTCGTGGTATTTTAAACAAACAGAGTATGAACGCAAGTTGTAGTATGTAATTCGAGTCTGTTAATGTTTGGGACTAATTTTACAACCATCGCCACATTAAAATTCTGTAAACTATAATCAGTCTTTGATATGTTACACATACGTGATACAGATTGCAGGCATTAAAGCAATGTTTAAAACATCATATAACATTGTATATCATTCGTTAAGAATTTAAATCGGCCTAAGCAATCTCAAACCAGTGGCATCCAATGCCGTCGTGACCCTGGTTCAAAAGGTGCATTGAACCAGGGCAGCAAAAATTTGAATTCTTAACATGTTAAGAGAATGGCCAGCATTGACTACCATGGGTGGCTTTAATTTATAGCACACCTAGTTAGAATTGAGGAAAGTGACCACGTTTATCTTTTGAGAGCTTGTCTTTTTTGGGGTAATAAAGAATGTAATCAGGCACGGATCCATGTGAAGGGAGAGTTTCAGTGACTATTAATTTTAACTTGAAACAACATTTTCAAGCAAAAATATTTTCATATAGAAATTAAAACGAATAAAATTGTATCACAACATGAGTTGAGTTTAGCCTTCGTCATTCCATAATATAACATCATTCTATAATATTATAATCTATAATATAACACATTCGACCAAATATTTTGAATAAAGATAATTCCCAAAATTTGTCTCTGGATCCGCCCCTGATATAATCATTCATTTTTAATTCAATATTTGTGTTCATCACATAAGTTCCCAAGAATACAGTGTTGATGAATGTTTTTAATGTATAAAATCATTGCAAACCATTCTTAGAATGGTTGATAATACCTTATGTTAATTTCAATAGTTGAATTTCTTTTCTTTTCAGGGCTGAATTTAGCTTGGATAATATATGCCATATTTGCCCTCTCAGTCCATTTGCCATAGAATTTTTTGATTTTTTTTGTGTTCTCCCAATTTGTGGTAAGATGATAATGACATTACTGCTGTTTAGGTTGCATTCATTGGTTGTTTTATTTATGCAGATTATCTTTTTTTAAACGTTTCAGGTGATGGTGTTAAAATGGAAATTTTTTTTGAAGATCTATGGAAAACCTTTGAAGACGAATTTCAGTCTGTTGTTTTGTTAGGATGCTCAGAAGTTCAAGCCAGAGCCTTTGTAAAACAAAAATTTAATACATTTATTGTTGGTGAAGGTAAGTCAGTTAAATTTTGAATTCTAATATTCAATCTACCTGTAGGTTGTAAAGATATGTTATAAGTTGAATCTGCAATTTCTGTATTTTGAGGACAAGTTTTGAATTTGTAACCCAATCTCGTAATTGCTTCCAATTTTATTTGTTTACAGATGACAAAGGATATCATGTGGGCATTTACTTGCCTCCAGGGAATCATCTATTGATGAGATATTACATCCAGTCATCGAAAACCATTGTAAAATTTGTAACTGATTATATCTATGTATTGAGTTGGACAAATGCTTTGTTTAAGGAATTTGCTTAAATATCTTTGTAAAAATAAATGTAGCAATTTAATCATGGTATTTTGAATAAATTTTAACTGTTGTCAGAATCTTTGATTTATTCTTCTTTTCCAAAACCTGTATTCCTGATATTAATAGTTACCATAGTTATGCTAAATTTTGCCTTCCAAAAATTTTGAATGTTGCTTTGGTATCCAAGAATGGAAACAAACATGTAAATAAATTTTAACATTCTTTTATTTTACTTTACCATCGGTGTGGCAATGAGATCGGGCAATTTTACCCGTCAGAAGCGTAGAAAATCGAAATGAGTGAATTTCGTGATAGGTTATTCGACGGATTGAAGATTCGCATTGCTGTGGTGTATCTAAGCCATGTCCAAATTCCCCGCGCATTCTCGATTGGCTATCAAGAGAAAGGGTATCGCTGCCATTGCTGACTTGGGTTTGATCATTTGAGAATTGAGCGTGTAGTTTTGGCATCACTGAAGTGAAATGGTAGCAAGGTGGTGGTGTCGGAAACACGGAGCGTTTTGAAGATAGAGAAACGTGAATAGTAGTGAAGAGTGGTGGAGAGTGAAGACGTCAGGAAGTTCGGGGGCAAACGTTATCAGACAGACAACTTCACGCTGTTGGAGAGCGCGATTTGTTAGAAAGTAGAAAAGTAGCTTGAGAAAACTACGTTCGTAGCAAGTTTCTTGATTTATTTTGCAGTACCTGTTACAAATTGGAAGACAATGATCTGTATGTGACGCTCTGAAAACGGTGAGTTTCTAGGCGATGGATGGTGCTTACTAGAAACTGATAAGCTGAAATGTGTGAGAGAAGCAAAATTTGAAGGGTAAAATGATCTACTATTTGAGTAACATCGGTTTGTTGGATTCATGTTTCAATTATTTATTTGCAGAATATGTCGAACTCCATTAGGCGGAGGCCTGGGCATTCACGCAGATGTGAACGTTTTCCTACGGAAAATGATCCCGAAAGTAGTGACAGCGAATCCAATGAGTCGCCAGAAGTTCCTAACGACCAGAATGTCAATGATGATTACTATGAAATAAGTAAATGGGAATCAGAAGAAGGTGAGTTGAAAGTACCTCTCACTTAAGATAGAGACTTTATTTCAATAAACCGTAACTGATCATATACTAAATTAGTATATTTATTTTCAGTTGCTGCGGGTCAGGCTGAAGCGTCAGTATCAGATCATCCTCCCATTAGAAAGATATTTGTTGGGAATTTAAATGAGAGGGTATGTGTATGATTTGTTGTTTTCTCAAGAACATGCATTCCCTTTGCTGTATAATTTGTTTACCTTTGAGTGTATGTCTCTTTGGATTACAAAGATTAGTTCCCTATGCTTTGCTTTAATTGGCAATTTTATAATCTGTATCAATATGACATGTGATTTCATCAGTTCTCTGATTTTTATGTCAATGCTGTGAAAATATTATTTCAGACAAATCAACATGATTTGAGAAATTTATTTCGGCGCTTTGGAGAAATAATGGAATGCCATAGATCACGTGACAAACTAACGGGAATTAGAAGAAATTATGGTTTTGTTACTTTTAAAAATCCAGAAGATGCAGCCAAGTATGTATTAAAATATAGTAGTCTCACATTCAGTTTTCTGACTCCATCCAATAATACAACACTGCATGTGAAATTTTCATGTTACAACATAACAATTTGAGCACTCGTGCAAGATACTATTTGCTCGTTTTGTCTTGATACTCTTCTGCAGGCCAGCTTAGCTTGGCACAATGAGAAACTGTTTCACTGTAAGTCTGAATATGGATTGAAGAGATGATTGTGATCCTCTGGAACTGGATACACGAACTACTGTACTCTTACTAGCTCTACCCCTTTCATGTCTTCCTTCTTTTCTTATTTTTGATATTTATCAAACTATATTATGTAATGGTTTGACTTGTGAAACAATTTGTTTCTTCTACATAATTGTATTCTGATATTCTTTAATCCAGTATCTGTTATCTGGTTTATGTCTGATTACTGAGAATATTTTGTAATATTTTATTTCAGAAAGTTTATTTTTCTCAATTTTGTTATTAATTCTTGCTTCCAGAACAGAGATACTGAAGTTATGTTGTAAGAAATCTATATTGCAGAAAGTTTATTTAATTTCAACAGCTAAAAACTGTGTAATATACTATGAGGAAAAGTTTTGTTGTGTGTCAAATGCTTCTGTGTGCAAGTACTAAAGGCATTTATTGAAAATCTAATTCTTCTTTATTTAATGTACACTTGCTTTCAATTGGGGATTCAATTGGGGAATATAACATTGTACATTATATAAGTAACTTTACATAAACATTAATCTGTAACATTTATAAACAAATACGTAATTATTGTTATGACTTAAGAGAGATTAAAATTCTAAGTACAATTACTTAAATTGAAGGTGTTTGTCATTTGGTGCCACTGTGAAGAATCTATTTACTTATTTTCTACCAAAGTGTGATTTTTTTGGCATAACTCCTTAATGTTTTGTTTATACAAAATCCATGTGAAATATCAATATTGTCCTTGACAAGCATCATCATCTTCAGCATGGATTAGAACACCCAAAAGCACTAGCTGACTATGGAACAACATAAAATACATAAATAAATTAAATAAATAAAAATAAATGTAAAGCATTTGGTGTAAGCATATTGCAAATAAGAAAAGATATAAACTTCAGTTCCATTTACTTGTTCTTAAAAGCATATGAAAACCCTGTCTGATTCAGAAGTGACTTGCTTTTTTCTAGGATTTATAAATATATTATCTCTCATTGTAATGAGAAGTAATGTTAGCATTGCTCTCTGGATTCTTGTAATATTTGATCTGGAATATGATAAATATATTACATTTGAATGCTGTTTAATGCCTCTCCTTCTAAGTGACTAGGTGACAATAAATACAGAATGCAAGACTCACTAAAGTGAGTTAATGAATATGATGTTGCAATTATGTCTCAAATGGTAATTGTGTGCTAGTATTTCTCAAAATTAAAATTATTTTTAGATGGAAATAAAAAAAAAAAAAGGAATGTAACTTGCAATTAAATGATTTATAATTGCTCTTGTGGTAAATAAGAAGACTCACTTCTATCATCATTGATTTTCTTGAACGTAAATACTACTAAAACTAGTGCAAATATACCCTCTTTATCTACTAATTTCATTAATTAGTATTTTATTATATTGTCTATATTACAGATTCCCAATGCACACAGAAATTGAAAGGAAAATACACAGCCTTTGGCTTTTTGAGAGGTGTCTGTTGTTTGTTAGATACTCAAGGACTTGAGAAAAGTTCAAAAACAATAAAAGTTTCAATTTTGACTGGAAACTGCAAATATTTGTTTGTGTTGTTCTGCTTATTCTCATATTGCCTGCTCTGACTGAATTCACATACTCACTGTTTCACTGCTTACATCAGCTAGCATCACACAACAGCTAAGTTCCAAGGATGAAGCTGTCGGCCATTAAATATTTGCTATTCATGAGGGTTTTCGTGCAGGAAGTTTTTTTATATTTTTAGTATGTAAAGAACTGTTGTACTTTGTAATGGTATATCCTATTCTATGTTCCTGCGCATATGTGAAGAAGAGATGAGAAGGCTATCCAATCATAAGTTCTTCCAGTAAGGTTGTGAACCGTTTTGGCTCATGTACATGTCGATAAATACCCTTAAAATAGACATCTCATTATAAAGTTCGTCCTAAAAGCATAATTTGGTGAACATGAAAAAAGTATATTTGCTAATATTAAAACATTGTTGCGTCATGTATAAATGTGTCCCAAATTTTCTAAACCCCACTGTTTAGTTTCCCCACATTGTTTCTTTGTAAAAGTGATGATTTACTGATTCAACAGAAAAAAAGTGTATTTTTCTCATATAATAATTTCAGTCTTTACTGGTTTAATCAATTTTCAATTTACTTTGACTACTGATAACCAGTTCTCTGTTCTATCAAGGGAGGTGGTAATTACACATTAAATATGTTATAAGGCTTCTAAATGTTCTGATAATTTTGAATTATCTTGCTCTTAACTTCCAAAAAATCTGTGATCGATTCTGAATGTTCTGAATAATCTATACTTACATGTTTCTTGGTGCTAACCATACTGCTGTGCCTGTGACTTTTTGGGAGAAAGATATGTTTTAAATAGATTGATAATTATTAACAACCCACTTCATGTACGTTTGCTAATGTAAGCAATCCTTCAACTAATAGGATAATTTAGGAAGGTCATGTAAACTTTTCAATTAAAAATTACCAATAAGTAAATAGAAATGAAACTTTGTGTAATTTAGAAACTGCTTTTCTGAAAAGGTGTATAGTGTGTTGTGGGCAATGGAAATGTGAAATAGTTAATTTAATAGTTTGAAAGAAATTACTAATTTTTGCTTTCTTGTATCTGCTTCATAGAAAGAAGTTTATGTAATGCTGCAGGAAAAAGTGATTTTTCAACAAAAAATCTATTTTGTGAGTCCTCAATTCTGAAAATGGATTTTTCATGCTCCTGATTTCAGTAAATTAGTACTTACGTTTCAGTAAACTTTTCCAAATACATTGTGTAGTCAGGAAGCACATTTTGTGGATCTGTGGTGCCGGAAAAAAGGTTTTGTCCTCGGATCAGTCTTATCATTTTGTATGTGTATAATCAACACCAGTGCCTAAATGAGATGTTCACCAAAATTGATATACCCTTTTTTATTATGGCTGATGTGGTGATAAATAGGGTTCCTCGAATATGAAACGGGTATTTTAATCTTTGGGGTACTTTACACGAAAACAGTGCAACATTTTTTGAATGTTCTTAAAAGTAAGTGCTCATTTTTCAGTTAATTTTTATTTTGAGTATAGCAAAGTACAATTATAAAAATGGTGAAGGTGTGATTAACATTGAAATTTATAAATTTTTTAAAGTTGCAAGAGATTCAAATTCATCTACATTATTCTATATTATTACATTACTACATTACTACATTATCTACATTATTCGAGATAGAGATTCCTTTTTAATTTAATCTTATTCTTCAGAATTAGATCTTTTAAGTACATGGTCATTGTGTTGAGAGTGAATTTTTTCATGTAATTTTGAGTAAAATTCTGATTAAATAAAAAAACAAAATGTAAACATGATTTTCTCAAAAAGGCTCCAAAGTTTTTTTTCAAATTATTTTTCTCAGTGTTAATTTAATAATGTGGCGTACATCTGATTATTATTAAAATCTGTTGAATTTAAAAATTGTGAAAGTTCATATTTTTCGAAACCTATTTTATGCCTTTAATATTGTAGCTAGAGATTCTTTTTAAATGCAAAGTATTCCTTAATATTAGGCAGTAGAGATGGTAGCATATTGAACTGTTATACTCAAGTTTGTGGTTTCAAACCCGATCAAAGCCATGGACTTTTAAGGTTGAAAAAATGGTGTGTATGGGTTTGTGTGCGTGTGTGTGTGGTGAGGGGTGCCAGAGAGGACTTTGGATTTAAACTTTGGAATCTCAATAAAATTAGTATTTTAGTGGTGGGTTGGGATTTTCAATATTAAAATATACATTATCAATAATAGAGGAAAGTATTTGTTGTAGCACTTCTAGTTAAAAATTGTCATTAATTAAAAATTCCATATCATTTTTGCCACCAACATTTTATGCCTGCCAACTTATGTTGTTACCCTTTCCAATTTTCAGATGTATTTTATGATGTATTTATTTTCTACTCAGGGTCCTCTGTGCACCACAAGATGAACTCTTCTTGCATTGGAGAGAGCTGAGAGTGGCTGCTGCTGATGCTTGGCATCAGCCCCAAGAATTGCCTGATGGAAGGATTTTGTGGCAAAAGAAAAACGCTAAGTCTCTGCGACGAACTTCCAAAGATGGAGAAAAACTTATTATTAGCCCAGAGTTGATGGAAGCTCGTGCTCGATCAAGTCGAGAAGTTGATGAGAGTCAGTGTCGAATCAACATTTTGAATGATGACTGTCTTATGCATATCTTTTCTTTCTTGCCCAAGATGGATCTTGTAAAAATTGAAAGAGGTATTTATATTTTTGATATTTTTTCCCTTTTTTTTAAATTGCTTAAATTCTCTATGTGATACTAATTAACTTAAGTCTTCTAAAGTCCTTTGTCTTCAGGGTGGTTATAGACGAAGTGGACTGAATTCTTTTATCAAGAATGCATCTAACAAACACACAATAAGTTATATAAGAATAAATTAAAATTGTTATTTTGAAGAATGTATCTGAGGCATACCTTGTAGTGGTTGATGGTATAGGTTTATTGTAGTATATAAAACATAAAATGGTGAAACTTAAATTACTAATAACTTAATGGGTGAAAGGAAATGTTTGGTATAAAACATGTTGACAGTGTTGAAGATTCCAAGATTAATAATGTTCATATTAGAGATTTTAAAAGGCCTTCATCAATGCCTTTATGCCATATGTTTCTACTTACAAATTAAAATGACCACAATTCATTTCATTAAAAAATTTAGATTAATTTCTCTAGCAAAATTCATGCAGTGAGAAAGTGTGGATAATGTTGTGAAGAGCTAGCTTGTACTAAAGATATTGCCAGTTTTTATGGTTTTTCAAGTTTACTTAATGTGCTTTGATACCATCCACTCAAAAATGGCTTTTGATAGACTTGAAGTGGAAGAGTAGCATGCTACATCAGACGTATTTAAGAATTTGACTATTTTCTCTTGAGAATATAGATGTCCAAAGATTAATACATTGCCTTGCGTCTTAAAGAAATTGGTAACTGGATTTTATATTTCTTTTTTTGTCAAAAATTGTGTTCACCTTTTTCTAATATTTTTGTGTTTTGCTTTCAAGTCTGCAAACGGTGGCAAGCAGTTAGTCGGAGCATGTGGTTGTATCTGCAGCATTTGGATTTCAACTTTATGTTCTACAATCCTCGTGCTTTTCCCACTGCTAACATTCTTCGTGGCCTACTTGTTAGATGTGGACCTAATTTGGCCAGCTTAGATTTGTCATTTAGGCCTAATGAATTCAACAACCGTATATTTTCTATTGTGGGTAAGTTTGTTTTCATCAGTTTTAATAGTATTTAAAAGCTAAGAATGGTGTATTTGAAAGGAAATTGTGAATTACTGACTCTAAGGGGGCAAAATGTGCAATATTTTCCATTGGTCTACAATTATCCACCTCAAAATACTGTGTTCAAGTAAGTACGTGTGAAATATGTACTAATACATTTTGCTTTAAGTGTCAAGTAAATCTTCTCTCACCCTTTTCAACTGTTTACATTTTTCTCCCTTTTCCCTGTTTTCTACTATGTTCATTTTTATTGTTGATTTAGTTTTGCCCTTTTTAATGAAACTTGTGTTATCTAGTTAAATTTTTTTCTTTTGTTTACAGCAAAGCTCACTCCAAACCTTCGTAGCCTTAATGCATCAGGCCTGCCATTGGCAAGTCATTCTATGCGACGCTTATCTGAAGTTGCTCATCAACTGCAGCGTGTTAACTTTGATGGATGTTCTGGTCTTTTGGACCGTGATTTAAGATCGTTGTTTCAGAAGTGTCCAAATCTTGAATCTGTAGTGTTGTCTCATAATAACCAACTTACTGGCAAGTGTCTTGCAGGTTTCAGAAGTGAAAAGTTGTGTGAGCTTGTTTTAGATCATTGTAATAACTTACGCTCACGTTTTCTTGCTGATGGCTTACGTCGAATGAAGAAACTTACTCATCTCAGTGTGAACTCTTGCATTAATTTGACAAGTAGTGATATTGTGGAAATACTTGAGTCACTTCCTCAATTACAGTATTTGTCTATTGGAAAATATTTTCCTTTACTTAATAGCACAGCATTGCGCTCCTTGCAGCATTTGAAGGATTTGGTTTCCTTGAATCTTCAGCATAATCCAGCTGTTACTGACAGTGTTGTTGAAGTGATTTCTTTGAATTGTCTGAAATTGGAAAAACTCAACATAACTGGTAGGTTCCTTTTTAATTTTTTTGCATTTTGTATGAAGGTGTGTTATATTTCTTAAGAATTTGCAGTGCAGGTTATATTCATTCTCACTTCTTTTTATGCTTTTGTTTGTTTGCAGGATGTAGTGTTATTCAGAGTTCTTCACCAGCTGAACATGCCTCACTTACGAATGCTGGTTTTCGCTGGCTAGCTCGATTGCCTCAACTCGTTGATTTGAACATGAGTTATTTAGCTGTTGTTACAGATGAAGCTCTGGATGCTGTAGCTGATAGAGGAAAACTTAAGCGACTTGAATGTCGTGGATGTCCAACATTTACCGATGCTGGTTGTATGAGGTAATAGATTTCTCTAATTTTTGCACATGCATTATATCTGTGTTGTTGAATAACATTGAAAATGTTGAATAGTATAATTGAGAGTAAATGAGTCAATGAATTATTTATTCTCTATGCTTAATGTCCATGTTTTTCAACTATCTGAATTGACTGAATCAGTGTGTTTTTTACATAATTGACTGAATCAGTGTGTTTTTTACGTAATTGACTGAATCAGTGTGTTTTTTACGTAATTGACTGAATCAGTGTGTTTTTTACATAATTGACTGAATCAGTGTGTTTTGAAACCCAATTGCATATTAACTTGTTCTGCGGATAAATTTTGAGGGGAGGAATGGCATTTTAGCATGGTTATCGATGGATGTGTCGGGATTCTGGGTATATCTTTTTTTAGTGCTATGGTGGGAAAGGGTATTGCAACATAATGGGGCATTTTGAGGGCTCATTTTTTTCTTTCTACTTCAATAAATTTGAATTTTCTTAAGGCAATCTTGAAATTGCTTTAGAAATCTTTGGTTTGACAGCAAAATTAAAATTCAGTCAATCCAATAAAAATTAAATGGATATAATTTCAAAGTCCATTTGGTATCCTGTTATCATTCACTATGACTATGGTTTGTTTTCCATGAAATGCAAAAAGGGCCTGTGGTCAAACAATTAGTTGCTATCATTTCAGCATTCCACGCATCAAAAGGGGTGAGACCTGAAGAGCAGTGTATCCAAACAATATGGCAAATCGTCATTCAAGAGTTGAGACTGGCCACTCATTGAGAAATCATGTAGTGGCTGAGTGCCGACATTACTGTCACTTACAGTCCCTGGCCATATTATTAAAAGCACCCTAAATTTCCAATAAAAATCACGTTTTTGTGATGAAAAATGTATTTTTTTTATTTCTAACGAAATAGATAAGGAATAATTGAATACTTACGATACAAACAAGATATAATATGCAAAATTATGACTGTCAGTATAATATATAAATTAATTTTCATAAAAAATCTCCATGCACATGTATATCTTTCATACTTTGTCAGGCCACCTTTGGCGGCTATTAGAGCTTTAATTCTTTTTTGGATGCTATTAATGCATGCCTGGACTGTTTCTTGCAACTTTGGATGATGGTACCAGACTTGAATTATTTTCTCAAGGAGGCAAATTTTTATTCTTATTTCTTCCTTTGCGATTTCCCTCTTCGTGAGCTCCCAAACATTTTCTATTGGATTCAGATCTGGTGAATTTACTGGCCATGGTAACAAAGGAACATTTTTCTCCAACAAAAATGATCGAACTGTTTCAGCAGTATGACATGAAGCCCAATCTTGCATAAAAACAAATGATTCTTCATTTGTGAACCATTCCTGTAGTTGAGGCAGCAGTCGTTTCTCCAATACTTGCTTGTACTGGTCTTGTTTCATGATGCCCTTAACCAAGTACAGACGCCCTGTGCCTTTGCCACTGATCACTGATCAAATCATTGCCTTGACTGAATGTTTCACAATCTGGATAACACAATCTGAATGATACCAGGGTGCCAGATGATAACAGGTTGCCTTCTCATAAATTGGTGTTTGTTTGCTAGAATTTCGATAGTTCATTCGTCGCTAAAACAAACCTGAAATACAAGTAAATGACATTAGAATTAATTTTGATAGCCATTTATAATTATAAAAAAGCACTAGACTAAATTTTTACCGATTTCCAGAAGTCCAAATATTTATTCTTAAGGTTCTTTCATACCAGCTGTTAATTTGGGTTTGTGGGCTGGTCTAAAAGCTTTAAAATTCATTTGTAGTAGTGTACGCCTTACTGGCCTTTTAGATACTCAGATTCCACTACTTTCCAATTTAAATTTAATTTGTTTAATTGTATTAAACCGGTTTTCATCCTCAAATCTTCCTCAAACATCTCTCAGATCTTGGTGAAAATATTCTCTTCCGTCCACATGTGTTCTTCCTTCGTGGGGATAATTCTTCACCAAGGACAATTTTTTTCTTAATTCGCCGAATAGATGTCTCGGATACGATCAATCTTCGAGATATCTCACGATTTGAATAATTTTCTGTGTCGACAAGAGCTTTCACTGCTGCGATCTTCCGAGAAGACAAATCACTTGCCTTTTCCACTATTTTTGTTCAAAACTATCAGTTTTTCGTATACAACAATTCACAATTTTTAAATAAACACTGCTATAACTATTTCACAAACTAATAAATGGAAAATGAACCATCTTCATGCAACAACACACTACTCATGTCACCTCTTGTTCTACTCAACTCTTGTAATTTGTGCGTCTAAGCAACAATGAGGTGTAACAACAATGGTACATAATGGCAAATAATGTGTTAAATATTAGAAAAAGAAGCTTTGTTTTTAATTGATTGATTCACAATAATGCCAGATGTAATGTACTGCAGTGAGAGACTTCAAAACTTAACATTTTGTTAAAAATTTGGAGTGCGTCTAATAATATGGCCAGGGACTGTATGTGCTGCAGCTAGGGTTTCACTCTCATAAGTTATCACCTATCCATTGCTTGTGCCCAACATGTTGGAGTCCTTTGTGACAGCCAAACTTGGTAAACTAGATATCATTGAAGGTATAAATGCAGACTAAGCAAAAAAGAATTGAGGAACACCAATCAATGCTACTCATGATGTAGTTTGGTATGCACGTATGTTTAGATCCTGAGAATTAAATTCATTAAAGGGTAAATGATGTCATTTCTCTTCGTAAATAATACATAGTGTTTGGAAGTTGTCATGTTACAGTTGTATGAACAGAGATTGGAAGTTCAGGCGTTCTGGCAAAAAGATCAATGGTTGGAATAAAAATTTATTATTTGTAATATTTGAAAATATATTTGTATTTTAAATATTTTTAAAATAAAAATTACTTGGATAAAAATACTTCAATCCATGACAAAGTTGATGTGAAGTATACATTATTTTTCTTATAAACGTTTTTACGTAATTGAACAATTTAAAGAAAATAAATACAATATAATACACAATAAAATGAACAGACTTAAACAAACGTTAACTTAAAATGAACAGCCTATGTGAAAAAATGTTACATGGGCAGCCACAGATGACAGCTTACAAAACCAGAAACCACTCCCAGACTAAAGAAATTACAAAACTAACTAGTGAAAGAAAGTCTGTTTTCAGTATATTTTTTGAAAGGACTTTTGAGGGTCAGAGAGATCTACTCCATCCAACTTGGCTTGCATAATGCCCAGTTACAATTTCAAGTATCATTATTTCAGAAGAAAAATTTAAAAAGCAATAATTTAAACTAAATTAGAAATTTTGACATAATTGTGTACAAATTTTGACATAATATTTCAGAAAAAACAAGAATGTCATAAATAACCATGAAAATTAATTTCAATAGCTAGTCAATGTGTTAATGACCTCAGAACAAATGTTGACTTTTTCAACTGAGTAAAACGCAAAAATTTAAAAAAATTATCTTTAGATGATAAGTAAATAGAACTTTCTCAACCATTGATACAGTAATAAATTCTGATTGACTTATATGCCCATTCATTTGTTATGTACATCATTGCCTCTTTTACCTTTTTTTGAAAAATAAAATAGTTTTGTTAGTTAGGGCTTCAGGGACTTCTTTCAAAATTTTTAGGGGCATCACGTCTAGGGATGGCAAGAAACCATTAATGTTTTTAAAACATCAATATTTTCAATCTGAAACATTGACACAGAAACATTGATCTGTTTTGTTTTCAGTGTTTTCTTCAGGTCTTTATATTTGTCCAGAAACATCAAAGTTAAAAAAAAAAAATCTTATGATATGAATACAATTTTTTTAGTGAATTGCTCAAAATTAATAGCCAATCACTTCTATCACTGTTGTTGGTCCCCAGAAGGAGACAGAACCGTGATTACTATTCACATTTTTTCAGTTCTGATAGGTTGGAAGATTTCAATTGAATTTTTATTCCTTTGTATAGGGCACAATAATAATATTAATAAAATTGAAAATCCCTTAAATTTGTGGGAGGGAAGAGTAGGAAGATATTTCATTACGAATATTTTGGGGTTGTTCCAGATGTCTCCTTTTATTATACTTTTAACAAAATGTTTGTTGTGTTTTGTGTAAAAAGCGAATGATTGATGAAACTGAATAAACTGGTTCAATATCTGCTGTAGATATCTTAAATTATGATAGGCAGAGATAAAGAAAAATGTTTAAAATAAAATTTTACAAAGAACTGACTACACCTGATGCATCGAAAGACAATCTTACCCAAACTATATTATTCTAAAGGTACAATTATATTTTTTACGCTTATAAAATTATAATGGGGTTTCCAGATATTCACTGTACAAGTGAAATTTTTGTTTAAATAAAATAAAATATATACTTATTTTATGAGTTGGGGAAAATAATTCTGTAGTTTATTAGGGCTAGTTATTAATCACGATTAGAGAATGTTTTGCGGTTCAAAATTTTCTTTACTATTTATTTAATATAATGTTCAACCTCTCAATTTTTATCGTGTGAAAGAGAACATCTGTATGTTGCATCTTTATATATTTTCTACGCTCTTTAATTGATTATTTTAATTGTGTACTGATAATTTAAAGCAATTACCCAAATGTGTTTGTTCATATTTATTTTCAGAGTGGTAGCTTTGTGTGGTGACCTTGAGCGTTTTGATTTCTCTGGCTGTGATCATGTTACAAATTTAACTATTGAAACTGCTCTTGAAGCTGTGAAGGAACGTACTAATAATGTTAAGCTCACCATTATTGCTGGAGGTACCATTTTGTACTTTTTTAACAATTCTTATTGTAATTATTCTGAGAGTCAAATTATGCACCAATACAAATGACTTTTGTAGGTACCAAAGTTGAAAATGTTGAATCAGAACATCCTTTATTGCAAGTGGATCTTGTTGACCTTTGCCTTGCACATATGCGGCCTGATTTTGTGGATGATATATATTTTCAGTCTTCAGACAATGATGATGATGATGACGATGATGATAATGAAGAGTTTTTTAATGGAAATTTGGAAGAATACTTTCTTGGTAAGTGTTTGTCTGAGATGTGTATACCATATTTACTTAAGTAATTGGCAAATCTGAATATGAAATGAAGCTTCCTGATTTAAAAATAAATATATAATGCCTCCTGATATAATTATTTAAGCCGCAATGAAATCTCAAATTGTCTTAATGACTGGAAAGTGAGCTTAATTCTTCACACTTGCATGTACTATCACTATCGAATTTCGTTGTAGGTTTTGTTGAGTCTTGAATCAATTTGTATTTGTAAAGTAGGAATCTTCAATTTTTTTTGTACTGTCTTATAAGATGGCCCCATACTTTTGTGGTCTTTTTGTGCGGTCTGTGATTTTTGATTAAATCTACGATTAGCATTATACTTCAGCAGATAAATCTGTGATTTTTATCTGCTGAAGCATACGGTAGGTTTAATTTGTGACTTCCCTGTCCCTCTCTTTTTCAAATGGAAGTGTGATGAATCTCAAATGTAATTCAGGTAATGATTTAAAATATACGTCATTGTGAAATTGATTTCCTATTTTATTCACATAAATTTGAATTCTTTTTTATATGGAAATAAGCAATAATAGTTATTATTATATTGTGTGTGAAATGATTGTTTTTACACAATCAAGGTCTTGCAAGAAACCATCATTTCACTCATGAAATAGAAACAAGTGAAAATAAATATGACATTTTGTAAAATTGTTAAAAAAATGCTATTACAAATCATTTATTTCATCTCTACTCCTTGTGGTTAACAAAACAAAGCACCATCTTTGTTTGAAAATGTTTTGTTTGTACTGTGATATGAAATTACTACAAAATAGTTGTAGTGGCATCAATGTTATCATATGAAGCACATCATGTGACATGTTATCACGTGACTGCATAAAAAAAAAAATTATTGTATTTTATTCAACTTTATCAACTTATCTATGTAATAACAGTGTAAACTGTACTCTGAGGAGGGAATGAAGTTCCAAAAATTTTGCAATCTAGGAATTAAATTAAATGGCCAACATGGATTAACCATCCTTAGGGGGAAAAAAAGAAATGAATATGAGATGAATAAAAGCCTGGGAATGAAATTGAAATCATTCATTAAAAATAAAAATTAAAAAAAAAAAAAAAAAAAAAAAAAAAAAAAAAAAAAAAAAAAAAAAAAAAAAAAAAAAAATAATAATAATAATAATAAAAAAAAAAAACACCCTCCCCTCAATGAGCTTTGAATAGTTTGCTATCTTGATTATGTTTTTATTTTGTAAGCATGGCATACAATTAGAATTTGGTATACTTCGTGAATGGTGGAGGTGGAATGAGTTATGATAAAATGCAATTAAACTAGATTAGGAATAAATGAGATAAAATAATAAACGGGATAAAATAATTGGAAAATAATTGGGGGGAAAATGTATGAGAAAAATGTGTGCATGTTTCAAAGTTCTCTTTTAATCAATTGAGTCTTTTGGTAGATCTTTGGCATGCTTTCTAATACTTTGTGTATTTATGGAAAACAAATTTGTTTTCAGCCTTTGATGATTCCCGATCTACTTTCTCCGATGATATTGAATGGGACAGATACAGCTACTACAGTTATGATGGATACGATTATTATGAAGAATATTGATATCTTTGTGTTAAGATGTCAATTATTGTGTAGTATATTTTGTCAGCATTTCAAGGCATCAAAAAAGCTTTAATTTGTGTCATTACAAGTGAATGAATGAACATTGTTTTTAATTTATTAATAAGAGCATTTATGCTAAATGTATGTATTTGTTGGTGACGTCTCGAAGCTGTGTTCTGAGGGAAGTTTTCTCCTGGTGCCAATTTTTAATGTATCTGTGTGTGTACTCTCTGTCCTCCCTTCAGTAGCATATTTTTGAAAAGTGTGACAACTGATGAGACTTTTGGTAGTTTTTGAATTGTATTGAAAGATTAAATTTTTTTAAAAATGTCTTTTGCTGTGGTATGATTTTGAAAGAACACTAATATTACTTTTCCTTAGTATTAAGTTTTGAAGAATGTATTATACATTTTGTTTCAAGTATTATAAATTGATTGTGAAATTTTTTAATAGATTTGATATATAGTTATCTACCTCCTATTCTGCTATTTCACATGAAGTTAAAGTATTGCAAATAATGAGCTTTTAGTTTTGAAAGTTTAAGTAAAAATGTGTTTTGGAAAATATTGCAAGCGAGTATGTTAATAACTCTCTTATGTACAGAAATGATGCTTTCAATAACTTCAATGAACTGCAGTTAAATCTGATGCACTTAAATGCATTTTGTGATACATTTTCATGTAAGATGAAGGTATTGGAAAATATTGCAGTTATGCAGATATGACTAATTCATATTATATTTTATTTCATATTCTTTGTAAGAGTATTTTAAATTTTCACACATTTTCTTCTTAGATAAATTATTTTCAGAAGAAATAATTTATGGAAAATAAGTTACAGGGAAATTTGGAATGGAACACCCATATTATTTCTATTTGCTGACATTCCCCTTTCCAGATTATAATGTGCATGATTTCGAAAGGTGTTGCTCTGGGAGATCATTCAATTATGGGGAAGCTGTATTACGCAACTTTACAAGGAGCCAGGGGGTGTGAAGTCTAATGCAAAGTAACATTTTTGAATTGATTATAAATTAGATTTATTAATGATATAAAGTATCTTTATGAAAAAGTAAACATAAGTATAGAAATTTGGAATAAAGAGAAAGGGGAGGTTAAGGTAAAATTATGTAATTATTGAAAGGGGGGGCTTCATACATGCCTTGCAAGGAGAGGGGGTATAATGTATGTTTAATTTGGGTTTCAATATTTAAGGATAGCCCCAAGACATATTGATGAACAACTGATTGTACATGCTGTAAAGTTGCATTACAGGGTATTCTTTTCTATTGCTATTCAGAATTGATGAGGAATTGTTTGAGAAGTAAATACTAAGAAAAGTATTGTATGTTGAGTATATAAAGTTTTTTTTTTCTCTTTTTTTTGCTTTGGGGCCACTCACTTGTTTTGTTCTGTTATTTTTGTTTCAGAGTAGTTTTTTACCATTAATATTGTTTAGAATTAGAGTAAATAAATGTATATAATTGTGTGTTGGCATTAATTGTGATGTTTCTGCCAAGTAAGACAGTCACTAATATCTTTACAAATTAAAGATGTTTCACAAGATTGAAAAAAATGTCAGTACTGAGAATACACTATTGCATTTAATGTCAATAGACGAGAACTTAACTGTGTTGTGCTTCTAGGCAGCTTGCTCTGCTGAAAATTGCAATCTTAGTCCTTTTATTTTACAAATGTGAATAGATTTGTATTGTTTTTCATATTATATAATTCAGGTCAGGTCCAAAAATATCTCTTTTAAACAACTGCTTAGTACTTTGAGGAAAGATAATATCTTGTGTATGAAATATCTGTATACAATGTTTTGATCTTATTGTTTTTGTGCATGGGAGGGTGCCATATTTGTATTGGTTAAAGTTTTATTTTGTAAGTTGTATGCATGGCAATGTCAATTCAAAAAAAGAATAAAATGAAGTTGTAGCTCAGGATCACTGAAGTACTTTTCTTTGTGTGTAAAATTTGCCAAATTGTTGGCTGACAAATCTTGTACTTTTTAAATGTGTAATATCTGGCCTGTGTTCTTGTCATGGGAACTTAAATAGTTGTTTCTACTTTAATATAGGATGAAGGAAAAGTAAAATATCTGAAATAAACAAACTGGGTATTAAGATACAGATTGGATTCAAACTAACTTTCCCCTCCAATTTCTTTTCCTATACATTTTTATGTGAAATTGCTACTCAACATATCTTGGTAGAAGAATGATAATAGAATAAGTTAAATCAAAATAATTTGGGAAGTTAAAAAGTAAATTTGTCATTAACATGAAGTTTATTTTCATGATCGTGGTGTTCTTATGATAATGTAGATCTATAGTTTTAACTAGCCACTTCTGGTTGAGGCTAATGCCTAGAATCATCTCTTTTTGAGATTCTGGATTTTCTAATGTATCTGCTCCAAAAGCTATATTGTCATCTATTTTTCTTAGGATTTTATAGTTACACATTCATTTCATATTGTTTTTAACTGTTTCAGCAACCGATATCTAACATTTCATTGTTAATTTTTTTGGTTCCCCTTTATTTTGAAAGCGAATGGAGATTGACAAATTACAAAGTTCCTTTTTTAAAGGTTTAATGATGGTTAACTACTGTAGTAAGACGATAAAGGTTTTAATGTACAATTAACCAAATTTCTAGATAAGTTCCCAAATTACAACAGCACATATTTTCTTGCATCATTTGTTACTTTTCCAATTTTTGAAAATTCAGAGTTTAACAAAAATACGACCCCAGTCATTTTTATAAGCATACTAATACATTGTCACATTTTGTCCGTTGATGTTTTTAATTCCATTTTAATCGAACATTAATGTTTGTGTTGGAAGGGATTTCATTTAACTGTGGTAGTGTTTATTCACTTATTTTCTTTTTATTTAATGTGTACAACACATTATCAGAAAAGTTGAAAACAACAACAACAACAACAACAACAACAACAACAAAAAAGCTTTCTATTATCTGATTGAGGTAAAAATAATAGAAAGTATGCATTAATGAAAACTTGATTAACTTATATTCCCCCCCTTGATTGCTTCTGTTTGAAGAGTGTTCAATATATGAATATCTCAAAATTATTATACTTTTTGTGATGAATGTAAATTATTCATTCAAAAATAAAATATTCACCATGCAAAGGCATCAGACCAAACGTTTATCGTAAAACGACATCGATGTCACATTCTTGTGTACATTGACTCGCAAAATTATTCATACAATGGAAATTTAGTAGAATAATGATGGATTCGGCATATTAAAAAAGAAAATAAATATAATAAAGTATATTACATGATCAACTTCATAAGCAGTTACAATGTATGTACTAAAGTTTTATTCAAATCACAATAAGCAACTGATATTTTTAAATTTGAATTTTTATGCAGAAAAGTTACATCATAAAACTATTCTGACACTTTTCATTTATTATATTTGTGTTATTTCATTTTAAATTGCATCCTTAATTGTGTTAAATATGAAAACGAATAGATGAGTGGCTATTATTGGTTGTTGTAACCCATTGTTGTAACGCCACACTTCTTACACTAGAATGACGGCTGCTTTTCGTTAGCGGAAATAAAAACGAATACTTTTATATATTTGTAGAATAGTACAATACCATTTTTAACAATTACTATTGTATATTTTTCGATCTATTTTTTTACCAATGCTATCAGTATCGTACTATTTATTAACTCCAAAATATTTTACTTTCTTGCATTCTGCTTATTTTTCGTAACAAATGTTTTACGATTTCAAATGAGTTTTACAAAAAATAATTTAGAGAGTAATTGTGGTATAAATAGTATTACATAACCATTACTAATGGCGAGGAACAACATTCTGTGTAAGCAGCTTTAGTTTTATGTTTTCAAAAATTACACAAATATAATTTTTTGAAAGATCTCTGACGCTGTTGATATGCTCTTTTTCAGGATTTACAAAAAACAACTGTTTGTTGGTTAAAGTTCTTCAAATAACTTTTAATGAAGTGTTTCAAAAATGTCCTGCGAAAATGAGCTCCAATTTTAGAATTTACATTTTCTCAAAAATGGCTCCGAATTTTTCAAAGAAAATTGCCAGTTAGGGCTAGTTTTTACTGTCATTTAATATTAAAATAATATTTCCGTTTACTATTAGGAGGTCGAAAAATTAAGAACATTAAAGCTATACTAACATGCCCCACAGTACCACACATGCCGGGAGACCGGTCCGGAGGATAGAGCTTGTGTGGCGTCGTTAACACGAGGGCCAGAACCGTTAGGTCGGTGAAAGTACGCTGCGGGGGAGGAAGGGGTTGAGCCTGAACTTCCGGGAGTTTGCGCTCTGGCAGGTGACTCAGGTAGAACCGCAGAGCCAAAAATACCGTAGGCTGTAAACTCCGAGGATGCTAGCCTGCGAGCCTCGTTTACGGAAGCAGGCAGCCAACCCTTAGAATCCTGTGTGGGGGCGTAAACCAAGGCTGGCCTGCGAGCCTCGCGCCAGCCGGCGAGCCTATCTATGGAACAGTGGTGGGAGTGTCAGCCTCAACTATTTAACGCGGCGCCATCTGCGCCCGCGCTCTCATTCAGTTTGCATCGGGAAGCTTGTACGCGTGTGTACGAGGAGTGTAGGAGTGTGGGCGAGATGTCCGGAGAGTAAGGGCCAGACAATCTCGCGTGCTGTAGGCACACGGTCGCCTCGACCGGGTTAAATTTTGGCGTCAGACCATGTGACGGTAATTGTCACGGGACCGAGGTCCGACAGCGCGCATCACGCGTGGCTTGTATTTTCTGCGGTAAAGCAGGGTTCTGAAAGGAAAAGGTTGCCGGAGTGTTTTAATATTAGCAATTCATTGTAACTTGTACATAATCTTTAATATATTATTTTTCTTTTGTTATTGAAATTTATTTCTTATTTCACTACGTCACACTTGTCTCAGCTGGGGCGGGGCCACGTTAGCCGGCGGTAGGTCGGAGCCGGATCTCGCTAGCCAGAGGGAGAAAACCACGGCCACCTCCCGAGCAAAAACATACACTAAAAGTACGGGATTAATGACCATAGTAGTCACCGGAATCACTACCAATCAATCGACGAAATTCGCTGCCTGAACCAAAAAATGGAGCAAATATCATTGCAAATAATAAATGTGATACGGCATATGCACCTCGTTAACCGTGTAATACAGTCATAAACTCAGCAATCCTTTACGCGCTCAGCAGAGGTTGCCACCACACTTTCTCGCCAAAAGTTGTGATGGCATTCTGGACATCTCTATAGCAGTACTCGCTCTCTATTGCATACATGCGACATTTAGCGTCACGATCAAAAAAATCATTTTACTATTTCCCTTTGAAAATATTCGTCTTAACCCTTTCTTTCTTCGAATATGATCTCTCTGTGCTTTCCGGTCGTGTTTCAGTGTATCCCAAAGGCTTGAAGAGATTTTAGAGTTCTTGATTAGATTTGATTTTTGTTTATTTAGTCAAAAACAGTAAAAACTCTGCGACGTATGGGGAAGTACCCTCTCCGCACGTTTTCTTGAGCTTCATAATCTCTTCCCAATATTCTAACTAGAAATTGTTGAATTATAACAAAAAAGTTTAAAAAAGCTAGTTAACAATATTTGAAAAATAGACAGCACTCTTTTAATATTAGCACGACATATTTACTTTGCCAGTTGCGTAGAAAGAGCGTCCTATTCCACTGGCATCACGCTTATACTCGTAGTCGTGAAATTTTTTTAAAGTCTATGTTTGCATTAAAAGCAGCAATGTCAATCATGTTATAAAATAACCTCGTCGAGCCGCCGATGAGTTTGCCTTCACGATGTGTAAGGAAAACCGGGGCACCATGAACCACAAAAAATGGAACATTCAGGAATCCCTTTCATTGAAGTTTATTTTATTTGTACAACTAAAGACATATGCATATTTCAACATTGTGTGGTTATAGTCACGAAATAATTAAGGGTGGAGACAAAATATAGAAAAAAACATTATTTTCATTTAATGAACCATTGAGCCCGATGCCTGGGGTACAGTGTGTCACCACTATTCCAGAATAAATACCCATTTTTATCATTGTGGAGCCACCATCATTTTTAAAAATAAGGAATTTGACGAGCCCTAACAGCATGTACTCACAGAAATGCACTCTAGGAAGAATTAAGGTAGGGGGTAAATAATTGCCATCAGCGCGGACAATATAGTATGTTGTTATAAGAATTTCCTTCTTAGCCCTTTCCTTTTGAGATACAACTTTGCAACCTTTATCAGCAACTACCTTTCCACTGTTTTGATCTGTTGTTTTTGTTTCATCTATGTTGATGACGCACGAATAAACACTAGTGTAGGTTCTCGCCTTAACGATTGATAATTGTTGAAAATATGATCCCCGTTTTGTTGATTGAATACTGTGTCACGAGCAAAACAACACCCCTCCCCGACCCTAGACCTTGGTGGACAAATCAGATCCTTTCCGTTATACGTACACCAGTTCACTAGCCGAAAGATTCAGATTCCGGTAGATCCACGTTTTAGGGTGGCACAATTCTTTTGATTCACTGTTTCGGATCAGTAGAGAGGATTGGCTCTATGAACTGAATTTACTGTTCGCATGTAGTAAATGCTAGACATGCTACTTAAACTTTCATTACTACTTAAACCCAACATTTTATTACTAAAAAAAGAAACTCGTCAACTCGTCGTTTTAACGAAATTCTACTTAATTCGTTTTATATACTCTAGAAGCCGCAGTATACTAATAGAAAAAATCAACTCACTTGTTGGTTGAATTAAAAATTTACATATTTAAACAATTTTTTGAAAACAATTTATCAATTATATCTCACAAAAATTGTTAGCAATTTTAGAATTTTCTTCCTATATTTGGAAATATTTTTAATTAAATTAAGCTTATAAAATTATAAGAATAATAAGAAATATATAATAATAAGAAATATATAATAATATGAAATATATAAAAATAAGAAATATATAATAAAAATATATAATAATAATTCACCTCTTAATTCGCATTTTAAATTTTAAAAAAGCTATGTTAAACAGTATATTTTTGAAGAAAAAACAATACATTAATATTATAAAAACACGAAACATACAATTTTGAAGATTCATAT